GCTGGTAAACTCGCAGCTTCATTCCTGCCCCACTTTCCCTGAGGCCAAACTGGGAAGGTATGAAATGTTTCAACTTAAACTTACATGAAAGAAAAATGAGCACCCACAATCACCCCACCAGACCAGGCTCCATCCCCAGGGCTACCAAAGTGTGTGCCTTTTCAAGCTGTGAAGCAGGGTCTACCATATGACTTGTCACCCATTATGTACTACTGGTATGTTCACAGTGAACAGCAGCAGGCACTGAGCAATGCGGCACCAAAGTCAAGCTGTTCTGGGCAGGGGAGGGGGGCGGGGGCAGAAGCACAACCTCCGGAACGGAGAGGCCTGCCTTGCTCAGAGCTCGTGTGCCCACTGCACTCCTCCCTCCACACTGGGTGCCGCAGTACTCCTATACCACGTGGATCCAGGGGCCTGGGGCTTGCAAAGCCTGTAGGTGTGCTCCTTTCTGTGAACATGGTCTGTGCCATAGCACTGACTGACTGGCTGAAGGCTTGCCCTGGAGTCTAACCCTGCAAACTGCCTAGATTCCTTACCAGTGTGATTTGTAGGCCTCGGATGCGGAACAGTTGGGCTTGGATCACGTGAAACCTGTGGTCCCCCTTGGCCTTAAACCAGCTTTTTTTTTTTTTTTTTAAATCATCACCTAAGGATATGTCCATTGATTTTAGAGAGGGAGAAACACTGATATGCGCCCTGCCTGGGGACTGAACTGCAACTTGAAGCATGTGCCCGAGCAGGGACAGAACCTGTAACATGTGCACACATGTTCAGGACACTACTCCAATGAACCCAGCCACCTGGCAGGGACTAAACCAGTTGTTTCCAACTCCTCAGGTGGTGAGACAATGATTCGTGCTTCCTTCTACCTTTCTGCTTACTAAATTACTTACTATGTGCTCCTTTTATTACGAGAAAAACCAAATTTCTAATCAAAGTGTCCCCAGAGGATTTGGAGCACGGACCCTGGAGGTCCTGTGCCCTACTGGCCTCTTGCCTAGGTCTGTCCATGTATTGCCTGCCAGAGGCTGTCTGAAAAGCAGTTCCCACTTTTTGGCTTTAAGTTCCAATCTTTGGTAGTTATAATGTTGCTCCTACAGCCTGATCTCTCAGACTTGGTTTTTAGGGGGTACCATAGTGACTGTGGTTTGAAGCTGCTCTGGTGTAGAATACCTAACCCCTGTCAATGAACTGACACGTTAAAGACTAACAAAAGCCAGGGAACTTTCCGGAACAGATGGGTTCATCAACCTCACCACCACCAGGTCCCATTGATCCTTCACTGCTTGTAAAAGGCCGCTGTACCCTGCTGTGCCCCCAGGATCACCTCTCCCCCCACCTGCTGATGTTATTGGGGTGTCCACCTGAAACCACAGCCTTGTGCGCCCATGCCTATAACCTGAAGCCCACTAAAACACAGCAAGGTTACTAATCTAGCTTTTCTAGACTTGAGCTAAAGCCAATGAAGTAGGCAGGCTTCAATTCTTTCCTGTTCTCTGCCTAGGGTGGTTATCAGGCCGAGAACATTCCAGTTTCTTGTTGTCTTTGTACCAGCACCAACGCAAAAACACTGAAATCTCCCAAATCACTTTTGTAGAAAGATGTCATACAGAGGTCAGCCGAAGAGCAGCAAGCCAGGTGACACTATCCTACTCAGGAGTGCTGCTAGTCCAATTAGGCTGATGGGCTGTGGTCTTCTGGGCAGAAGGCCTTGTTTGGAAAGGGGGAAAGGAACAGGACAGCTGTATCCTTTGGGCTTCAGGCAGGAAGCACTATTTCGTCTGCCTTAAGTGGTCCTAGCTGCATTGTAGTAGCTTTCAAGACACCACAGAACCCCTCCTGCATCCCAGGAAGAATGACAACTAAATGGTTCAAGATGATGGATCCTGAGGATCTTTTCAAATAGGCTCTGGTCCCCTCTACACAAGTTCCCAACCCAGTGCCACTTTAAGAATCCCAGTCTTCCTGGTAAGACTTGATACCAGCTAACCTCCCTCAAAGAATACAGAAGCTTCATACTTGTAACCAAGACCATCATCACCATATAAAGACCTCCATACCAGGTAAAAGGTTATTTACTTTCACTCAGGAGAGTACACGCCCTATATACTAGAGTCCTCGCAAACTTATTCCTCCAGAAGTCACTGATAAACAAGAGCATCACATGGCCAAGCCTTAGCACTCAATGACAGACTTCCCGAAGTGCATGCAGGGTTCTCACCCAAGTCTGAATCCTCCATATGCCAAAGAGGAAGCCTGGAGCCCTTCCTTTCAGGGTTCTTGAATTCAGCCAGCAAGGAGCTAAAGTTGCTGAGTCAATCACATACCTAACAAGGTTTGTAAAGGGCTCATTTATCTTTTTGGCCCAACTAAAAAAAGCCATAGTTTATGCTATGAACAGGAAAGCTTAAAAACTTAAGACATTGCTAATAAAATTGTTTTAAAAAGCTGTAGTAATGGTGGGCAGAAATTACTGAAAGAATAGCACATAATCCTGTATTATTTTTGAAAGGATAGGGGAAAAAGTCAATTGTTTCAACAAGATTTTGTTTATGATATCTTTGCTCTCTCAAATACTAGAATAACTGAAGATAACAAATCTTTCCCTTTATCTGATAGCAGCTCAGGTTTTTCCTAACTAAATGGGAACTTGAATAAGAGGGCACATCTTGGCATAAAGCCTGTACTATGCACAATTTCACTGACCTTTAATAGCTTTCCAACCGTTGACTTTTCTATTAACACAATCCTCACACGACGTATTCCTTTGGGACTGCATTGCTGAATGTGACAGAAAAGAACTGTAAAATAAGCACCACCAACACCTAAAAATTTGGTCTCTTAAAACTTGGGGTAAATGAGAGATCAAAATACCTTAGATGTAACTCTAATTGTGCTGTGAACCCTGGAGTTCTCTAAGCATACTTAAGTGAGTAAACTAAGCAGACAGGTACCTTATTTACTGAGTGCAAGAGACTTACTAAATAGCACCCCTATACTTCCACCTATGAGACTAAAACTTTTTAGATCAGCTCTAGAAGTTTATCATATTCAAGGAACTTATTTTTGGGAGGTGGGGTGTGCAGACTCAAGAATATTTCTAGGAAGGGGAAAAATTTTGGTCTAGTGATTAAGTCAGAGATATTTATAGTCAAGACCTGAAAGTGTTCCTATACATCCACACTGCACACTGGAAGAGGTGGATAATGGTGGTCAAGAGAACCCTTTCATCGCATAGAAACTAGTCTGCACACAACTCTCATTCAACTAAAGTATTTTCATAACTTGGGATGAATATATAACCAGTAGAAGTTCTAAAACTAAACAATCCCTTAATATTATGGGATAGTACTGTTACTGACTGCCTCAAATCCCAGCTCTATCACTTACTAGCTAGCTGACCTTGAGCTAGTCACTTAATCTCTTTGTACCTAGTTTGCTCATCTATGATACCTACACCTCATAGGATTACTCTAAGTTTGAAAAGCAATAGGTGCTTAGAATAGTGCCTTGCACAGAGCACTTGTATGTTAGAAGTATTGTTACAGAGGAATTGTGTCACAAATGCATTTAAACCAAATCCACATTCATATCTAAATAAGTAACTTAGTTCTAGCCTCTTGCCGTACAATTTATAAAATTTGTAGAGTTTAAAAGTAAATACTTTTCATATGACATAACCTTGTAAATTGAAGGTTTACATCTGGTAGTCAACCAAACAGGAATTTCTTCCAAAGCTGAAGGAAAAAAACTGAGGAGTAATTCAGAGGATGTTCCAAAGATTCCTCTCCAATGGGAATGTGACTAGGTCTGAGTTTTATGTATGTGTTGAACTTAGGAGTTAAGTGTTGACACCCTGCAAAAAAAGATGTTATTTCCCCTTATAATTTTCTATCAATACTTGAAATATTTCCATTTTAAATATAAAAGAAAAACAGATTAAGGATAAAAATAGGTTTTGGATAAAAATAGGTTTTGAAACAATATTCAAATAGACCATATACACCTACCCTCCAAATTGCCAATTAATAGCTTAAAGGGAACCATCAGCACTAATTCTTCCAGTGTTAAATTTTGCTTAACAGAAGCTGTAGATATTGCCATCTTACAGTCTTCCAATAGAGAAGCTCTTAGCTTACTCAGCTAGTGTGAATATGACAAGACATTCTTGGGATTACTGAAACAGCTGTTTTAACTACTAGAAAGATTACACAAGTGACTTAACAGAATTTATACTTGTATTATTTTCCATTTTCTACACTACTTAAAGGCATAGGATAGCTTTGTATTAGCTTTCTACAATACTGTGTTTTAAATTTATCCAGTAAACTAAGATGCAGTACAACTTTTATACAACTTAGGAGATAAAAAAAAAATCTCCACAAGAGAAAGCAACTTAGTAGGCCCTGGTATTAAAACATTTTTTCTAGAACAAACAGATAAGCAATCACATTAAAAGGCAGTTTTCGAATTATGTAAATTATACCAAGATTCCTTCCAAATATATGCCTTGTTCAGCCAATGCAACTAATTCTTATTCATTGCTAATAGTGGGGGTATGGATTTTTGGTAAATGTTATGGTTTTACTTTCTTCATTATCAAAAATCTTTTAAAGTGTTATCAAGCAGCAAAGTAAGTTGCATCAGCTCTCTGCTCATGGTAAAGGTGCTAACGCCTCAAGGTAGAGGTGCGAATTGTGAAATCACAGAGGGTACAGTTCAACACTGAGCAGAACATGAAGAAACAGTAACAAGTGGCTTAAGTACAGAGCTGAACAGAAAGAACCAAACCACTTATGTCTAATAAAACTGCTCGACTGAAACTAATATAGATATGTTCAAAATAAAGTTTGAGATTATTGTTTAGAATCAAATTTGAAGAATTTCTTGATAAAATATAAATCTGTTCTTTTGAAACTGGAAATGAACTAGCAATTGATAAACAGCTAGAGACTTATTAACCCATCCTACACAGATAAGGAAATAAGTGACAAAGTCTCTTGCACTGAAGTTATGTATTTTAACAGCTTTACATGTAATATATATAAAAAACTGTAAGTGCTTTTCTCCAATTTAAAAATCTAAAGAATTCAAAAATAAGGCATTCAATATTTGAAAAAAGTACAGATTTACAAAATGTGTATATTCTGTCATGAAAACTCCACACCAACATTATACACTTGGAAAAAAATACAAACAGGATATATTACAAATTTATGTAAGCAATAACTTAGTTCACACCATGCAATAAAAAGTACATTAATCAAGATACACAAGCTTTTGTAGGTTCTAAACTGAAGGACTTTTGTTTTCTTTCTGCAGAATCCTTAAAACCTGTGGCACTTAAAATTTGTTAGCCTTTCTACTGAGAGGTAAATTATACACAACGATGATGAAAAAGATTAACAGACCAGTTGTCTATTATGAATCATTCCAGCTTTGTTCAACAATGGCTGAAACTCTTTTCTCATATTCTCGTTTGTTTTCCTGATAAAGCTGTGCTGCCTGACTATTGGCTGGACTGTTTGGATTGGGCTCATCCAGCAGAGACTAGAAGGAAAGAAGAAAAAAACAGATTCGCAGTTATTCTTTATATTAACATGGTCAGATAACAAGCATAGAACTTACACAAAATGGCAGAAATTAGTATGTCTTAAATGTTTTTAGGTCTAAAAGACCGAAAGCCACTTTTCAGAAATGGTTTGATAACTACAGTTAAGATTTCTGCTGCCAGAGAACTTAAGCTTCTAAAATAAACCACTCTCAAATGACTTAAGAACTCTGATTTCAAATAGACTAGGAAAAAAAGAACAATCTTCAGTATACTAACACATTAAACTAGGAAATAAGCAGTTTGATTTGGTTAATACACAACAATCTGAAAAGTTAATCTTGTTTCCTTTAATCGATAAAACATATACATCTAGTGGCAAAGCAATAGGAAGGTTATAAAGAATATTTATAAGCCCTGGCTGACGTAGCTCAGTGGATTGAGCGCGGGCTGCGAACCAAAGTGTCGCAGGTTCGATTCCCAGTCAGGGCACATGCCTGGGTTGCAGGCCATGGTCCCCAGCAACTGCACATTGATGTCTGTCTGTCTGTCTCTTCCCTCTCTAAAAATAAATAAATTAAATCTTAAAAAAAAAAAAAAAAAGAATATTTATAAGATGACCCTAATTAAAGCAGGTGTGATAAAAAAGCTTTAAAAAGATCACAAACCAAAATGTAACTTCTGCTCCCCTCAAATCCATGTAACTAAAACACAACTATGGACCATTCTGCCAGAGTGACACAGAATTTCTTGGATGAGGCAGCATACTCAACGCTTCTCTGCACTTGATGGTTTCCTGAGGTCCCTATGGTTTTCTAAGCAATCATCTTCATCTGTCCCCAAGATTTTTCATTCTCCTCCACAATCTCTGGCTATACCTTCATGGTATGAATAACACTTGAGCTCTTGCAACATTTACTTACACATGAGCAAGAAAATAATGGTGGATTTGATATAAGTTGGTCACTAAGGAAAAAGCAGACCAGCCATCTGAGAATCATGGGTTTTTGTTTGAGCTCTGCCACTGGTGACCTGGGTGGGTGCTGGGAAGGTCTGTTTGCTCACTTGGTCTTTAGATTATACCTAAAGGAGCCAAATGGATCACACATGGCCTTGAAAAATTATGATGCGTCTTAACACACTTACCTGAATTGACGTTAAAATAGAAGACACATCGTATGTTGGACTCCATCGATTCTGAAGGATATCTAAACATATGCTACCGTCAGCATACACTGCAAAGACAACACTAAAACTGGTTACACATTAACTCTAAAAGGTACACATCTAAAAGGTAAGACTCTTTACTATAAACAGAATGCTTGGCAAAGACAAGTTTTGAACATTAGGCAAGAGCTAAACTCCCTTTTGTCTCGTAGGAAAACCAGTCATAAACTAAGGTCTCTTACTTTGTACCTTTTCATAAGGAGGCTGAGTGAGACTAAACTTTTCCAACACACCATATAGCAAATCTGTTTAAATTCCGTATTTCTATAAGACTGTCAGCTGATTTCTCAAAAGAAACTTGCAGGCTAGAAGGGATTGGTAAGAAATATTCAAAGTCATGAAAAGCAGGGACCTACAGCCAAGATTGCTCTACCCAGCAAAGATATCATTTAGAATCGAAGGGCAGATAAAGAGCTTCCCAGACAAGGAAAAACTAAAGGAGTTCATCATCACCATACCATTATTATATGAAATGTTAAAGGGATTTATTTAAGATCAAAACTATGAGCAATAAAATGGCAACAAATACATATCTATCAATAACTGAATCTAGAAAACTAAGCAAACAAGAACAGAGACAGAATCGTGGATAGAGTGTTTTGATGGTTGCCAGTTGGGAGAGGGATATGGGGGAATGGGTGAAGTGGTGACGGGATGAAGAAGTACAAATAGGTAGTTACAGACTAGCCATGGAGATGTAAAGTATAGTATAGGAAATGGAGTAGCCAAAGAACTTCTACACATGACCCATGAACAATGGTGTGTGGTCTGCTTGAGGCAGTGGGGGTTGCTGGGTAAAAAGGGTGGCAGAGGGGGAAAAATTGGGACAACCGTAATAACAGAATCAATAAAATATAATTTTTTTGAAAAGAAATGAATGAAAACTTCTGTATTGCTAAACATTCTTAAATAAAATTCTGGAAAGTTTCTTCTATAAAAAAACGAAAAAAGTTTCTTCTTTAACAGCAATTCTACTCTCAGATATTACTTTAAAAGAAATAATAATGGACATGCAAAGTTTTATTTACATGTGTTCACTACAATACTATTTATAAAAGCTAAAAATTGGAAACTACCTTGTGGTCTGTAAAGAGGGCACTGGCTAAATAGTACATTAATATAACCCCAATTCCCTTAACAGCCACCAGAAATAATATCCATCTACCCTATACCAACTAATGTAGAAAGACATTCATAATGTATTACATCAATTTTCCACTTATTTATATAGGATAATTCCATTTATGTAAAGAATTACATATAAATATTTTCATTTGAGATACATGCAGTTACACACATACTTGTAAGACTAAATGACAAAATATAAGTAGTAGATATGTGTAGATAGTAGGATTATAAAGGATCTTATTTTCTTTTTCTTGTATTTTGTGATTTGTTTTTACACTGAGTATGCATTCCTTATAAAATTTGAAAAAATAAAAATCAAGTAATATGTCTTAGAAGTCTAATACTTGGGAGGCACTTCCCTCATCTCTTGAACTCATTATGTGGAAATACAATGAACATAATAAATGTTTATCCATTTACAAGACTATACATCTGTATGATAAATTTCCAGAAGTAGAACTGCTGATGTGTTGAGGGAGGGTAAATGAATATAAATGTTATAGATACTGCCAGCTTGTAGAAAGCTTCATGGAGCAAGCCAGATCACTCTACATAAAAATAGCAATGCAGTTTTGGGGGGAACAGGAGGCAAAAATTACACTTGAGTACTGTCATTCCACAGGACTCTGTGCTCAGTCCTCCTATTCCTTCTTCCCTTTACATACCCTCTGGGCAATGCTATTCACTCCCGTGGCCTCAATCACTATCATGTGCTAGGTACTTCCACTGTTAGCTTTAGACCAGATTCTAACTCTCACCTTAAAAGGAGCATAGTCAACCGCTACTGTGATCCACAGGAATATCAAATTTAGGAAGCCCAAAGCAAAAACCATCACCTCTATAAATCTCATAAAAGTGTAAGATGATTTTAAAGTTTTCAACTAGTAACTATTTATGAGAAATAATCACAAAGTAAACAAGAAACAAAATATGCTACATCCATACAATGGATTATCATTCAGGAATAAAAGGAACTGAAGTACAGATATGTGTTACAATGTAGATGAACCCTGAAAGCTATGCTTGCTAGCTTAAGTTAGTCACAAAGAACCACATCTATTATATGATTCCATTTACAGGAAAACTCCAGAAGAGGCAAATCTATAGAAACAGAAAATAAATCAGTGGTTGCTTAGGGCTGGAGGGGTTGGGAGAAATGGGGAGTGACTGCTGACAAGCACAAGTGTGGTGCACACAAGAAGCAACCACATACTGATGTTTCCCTCCCTCTCTTTCTCCTTCCCTTCCCCCTCTCTAAAAATAAATAAAATCTAGCCCTGGCTGGCATAGCTCAGTAGATTGAGTGTGGGCTGCGAACCAAAGTGTCGCAGGTTTGATTCCCAGTCAGGGTACATGCCTGGGTTGCAGGCCATGACCCCCAGCAACTGCACATTGATGTTTTTCTCTCTCTCTTTCTCCCTCCCTTCCCTCTCTAAAAATAAATAAAAATGTTTAAAAAAATAAAAATAAATAAAATCTTTTTTAAAAAGAAAAATGCTCATGTATATAAAAAATCACTTGACATAAAACATACCAATTTTGTGCAGTTATTTATATTTTAAAAAGCTAAATTTTCAGTGACAAATTATTTTCTGCATCTTTCAAATTTCTACAAATAAATTACTTTAAAATCAGAAATCATTAAAACAAAACAACTTTATCTCAAATTTGGTACCTGGGTAAGGTTCCAGATTACAAAAACTGTGGCTAACACTGACATGGAAGCAACATCTAGAAGTGGGCTCTGAGAGTTGAGAAGTATGGAGTAAGATTGAAGAGGAAGGAAACAACTCCCCCCACCCCCACCATCATTTGCAAAGTCTAATAAGTTGCTACTTACCATTTGGATGAAACATTTTGGATAAAAACCTAACAGTTGGCGGTTTATTTGGATATTCTTCAGAAAATTCTATTACTAGTTTAAAAGTACCTAGATAGAAAACAAACCAAAATAATTATAGTAAAGACAACCATAATTTTAAACCTCTTCATCAATGATTTCTCAGCCCATACTGGTTTTTGCACCACATAAAAATTAACGTGAATTCTGGGTCAGTACATAAAACATAATAATATACTTGTATTTATGTCAAACTGGTAACACCCAACACTGATGAGCACTCAGGGAACTAATCTGTCAGTTTTAAAAGGCAATTTGGTCCTAGCTACCAGAACTTAAAATGTACATCAGGAGAAATACAGGTAGTTAAATAACGAGGCTGTAGTTACAGTCTAGAAGGGGCGAGCCCAGAGGATTCTCAGAGCAGGAGGCTATCACATGACAGAGCTTAGATTGAAGTCATGGTGCTAACGTGAAAGGTCCATTCTGTCCCGTGACAATCCCTTCACTTCGGGATGTCAGGAATCAGTAAGCATCAGGGTAACTGCTGACTTTTGTTGGTTATAAATCAACATGATACATTTTGGTCAGTCTGTATCAGTAGCTTCTGGTCAAGAGAAACCTATGCATTTTTCAAAAATCACTCATTTGCAGCAAAGTAAGTCTGTTCATAGTGAACAAATAACTCTCAACTCCAATCCAAATCCACTCCACAGAAATAACACTATTACTGGTTTTGGGTTTGTCTTTCTAGATGACTTTTTTGTTTAGTTCCTATTTAGAGTCCTTTTATTTTGAGGAAATTCACCTCAAAGGTGAGTTGGTTGGAGAGGTCCTCCCTCTAATTCCAACTCCTTGGACATGCTTATTCCTAATGAAGTCAGTAAAAATCTTTTTAAAAATCTAAAAACAAACAAACAAACAAACAAACAAACCCCCCAAACAACAAAAACCCTTAAATAACCTAAATTCTAAGCTTAAATATTTCATATTTATATTCTTCATTTCATTAGGCATATATTTGGTATACAAACTCTACCTCTGTGTTTTTTGTTGTTTGGAAATTTGGGATTAGGTAGGCCAAAGATGTAAGTAAACTCAAAGGCGGTATCTACTTCACATTTTGGTATATTAACAGAGGTACTATAAAATATATAGTTAAATTAGCAAAGACAGCCTTACACCTAATTATGTCTTTTTAAAGCTTACATTTTAATTTTTTTCATTACAAAAATGTACCATGTAAAAATTTCAAGCAAACACAAATGTAAAAGTTATTTTTAAACTTTTATGCATGTAATAGCATATTGTTTTATGATATCACCACCAAAAATAAAAGTAATTTCATTTTTAAATGCTGGCTCTCTAATAACCAGTTTGCAACAAATCCCTACAAGCTGCCTCCAGCTCACCACTGGCCATAACTATTAATATGCATTGTATTAGAAATTGTAACCAGAAAATCATAAAATATATATCATTAGTAACTACAGACTCATTACACATTTGCCTAAGTAACACTTAATGAAAAAATAACTATCTTTCCCCAAAGCTAGTGAGAAGTGAAGCACTGTTTTACATTTTTGCAAATTTCTTTAATGGCTGCCTTAACAGAAGACAGCTGGATTCTCTTAGCCGCTTCTGCACTCAATCTGTTGCAATATGCTGTTTTGGTTGAAGAACATGAAGAAAATCAGACATCACACAATTACATAAATGAAAAAGTAAGTACCATATTTTGCCGTGTATAATGTGCACATTTTTACCCAAATTTTTGAGGAATAAGAGTGTGCATTATACATGGGTAGTACCTGAACTACTTTATATCTGTTCTTTTGTTTTGTAATTATTTATTACATAAAATTTCTTATATGTTCTAAAATAAATGCTAAAATTCCTTTATAATACAAAAACAAGTATCTAAATATAAATAATCAAATTAAAAAATTAAGATTGTTTTCCTGAAAGTTTGGGCCAAAAATGTGGGTATCCAACATACATGGGGGTGCATTATACATGGCAAAATACGGTATTTTCATAGCCTTTCCAGATAATTGCAGATTTTTTTTGATATTACACCAAAGAAATGGTAGGTTTTTTAAAGGTTAGTCGCAATGTAAAATCTGAAACCATATATATAATTAAACCTTTTGTGTCATTTATATTTGGAAAACATTGTTTCATTGTTATACAACTTTTCCAAATGTCACCATATTCCATTATACACCATCCGCCCAAAAATCACAATAGGCAATACTACCTATTAAGATTTCTCATCAGAGAAATCTTAAAAGTATTGGGAAGCTGTCATTTTATCAGCAGCAACAAGTACTGTCAGCTGCCTTCCATGACCTAACAGCTCACTTAGGTAATTTTTGAGAACATGTCTGCCAAGTACTCAAACCTAAAGAATCAGTCTGTCTGTCAGTCATTCTTTCAAGTAAAAACGTTCCATGAGAAAAGCAAAAGTTCAAGTTGCAACCCTAACAACTGCAGAAGTGCTTTTCCTCAAGACAATCACCATACTCTGGTACACAAGAAGTGCTGTATGCATACTTCCCACTTCATCACAGAGTATTATGGAAAAGATCTATCTATACTCAAGGGTCAGAATTTATAGTATTAGTAACTTACACTTTTCATCAAGATTTTTTAAAGTGAATACTGGTGTCTTTAAAAATTCGGAAAGTATGAAGACTATTAGTACCGTCTGGTCCACTGTCTTGATTTGTGCCAAGACACTAAACTGCTTGGGTCCAGTTTTAGTCACTAATATGCTTTTGTACCATCAGTGTAAATGCCAATACAGTGAGGCAAACGATGTTTTTGTATTGCTATGAAGACAGTTTTGATCACGTGAAATCCCTGAAAGGGTCTCAGGGACCTTAAGGAATTTATGGACCACCCCTGAGAAGACCAGGTATAGAGTAAAAAGCTTAAATCCTTTAAGTGCCTCTCTTTAATTCCTAACCTCAACCTAGAGATAACCACTTATAACAGTGTGGTACATAACCCTTTAATATACACACACACTTGCATGTATGTACTTAGTAAAAGCATGATACTGCAACATACATTATTCTGTAATGTTGTCTTGTTCAGTCTACCTTATTCCTGAAGAAGTTTATAATACTGCCCTAATCAGTGTGGCTCAGTTAGTTGGGTATCATCCCACAAAGTGAAAGGTCATCAAGGTCGCCAATTTGATTCACGGTCAGGGCACACACCTGGAGTACAGATTCAGTCCCCAGATGGGATGTGTATGTAGGACAGTGTTTCTCTCCCTCTCCTCCTCCCTCCTTTCCCCTCTCCAAAAATAAATAAATAAAATCCTAAAAAAAGGGGGGGGGGCTGCAAAATATGCCTTTTTAAACAAAAAGTATTATATAACATGAGAGAGTCTAGCTGTATCATAATTTGCTGTTTCCTCTATTGGGCATTCAGGTCATCTCCTTAAAAAATGGTGCTGCAATCAATCGTACAAATATCCTTGATGCATTAATGCTGAAGCCATTCTGATAATTAAAACAAAATTTAAAAAAAATTTTTTAAATAAAAAATGCTAGAATTAGGGAAAATATGGTTAAAATCAATTTGAGAAACCCCATTATAAATATATATTAAAATGAGTTTTCCATTTCCCTGGCTCTTGATGGAAATACTGAATTTAGGATGTCAAAGATTATGCAGAATATTATTTACAGGTATTGAATACCAGCTGAATGTGAATCTACTGGCAGATTTATTTATTTATTTATTTATTTATTTAAAGATTTTATTCATTTTTAGGGAGAGGAGAAGGGAGAGACACAGGGAGAGAAACATCAATGTGTGGTTGCCTCCTGTGTACCCCCTGCTGGGTACCTGGCCTGAAACCCAGGCATGTGACCTAGACTGGGAATTGAACCTGTGACCCTTTGGTTTGCAGGCTGGCATTCAATCCACTGAGCCACAACAGCTAGGGCAGCTATGTATATTTAATGACAATTTCAGCTCAACATCCCTACCAATATAGGTAACAAAGAAAGAAGAAAAAAAGCATGATTACCCTCCTGCTATTTACCTCAGGAACATGTTAGCATGCTGCAAGGCCCTGAAATTAAAACTATTCTTAACATGGACTCTACCAGCTGGGCTTACAGTTTTATAGCCAAATATCAAAATAACAAGAGTAACTGGCAACCAAAGCTGGTCAAGCTGATGGGGAAAGCAAGTCCTGTAAACTAAAATTCTCAGTAGCAGTATTTAGTTTTAATTTGATCTATTAACAGAAAATTGTTTTAAGTAGATACACTGGTATCACAATTTCCTACTTAAAAAAGCCTCTTAATAGTAAAGAAAACATAAAGAGAACAACTTACCATCTTCAAAGGGTGTCCCTTCTGGTCTGAAAACAAGAAGAATTCTGATTAAAAAAAGGTTTTCCTTCCTTCATTCTGCTTTTTCCTGATTTTCAAGAGTGAAAAAGGATAAACTCAAAACAGAAAGTTGGGGCTCATTCTGATGATTTGTGGAGTTTTTAAGGCACTAGTTTAATATATCTTAACCCTAGATTTTCATAGATTAGGCATGAAAAGTAGCATTTTCTGAATTTTCCTTTTACAAAAAGCCATGATTTTAACACAAAAAATTCAGTTCATAAATACCAACCAGTCATTTTGTAAATGTGTATTCTTACAAGGTCCTATCTTACGTTACATCGGTAAAATGAAAAGCAATACCCTTTAGTTTAAGATAAGTATGACACCAAGACAGAGTATTCTGCTTTTCAACAGAACAATTTCTTGTTCAAACTAGATAAACATAACAGAATTATCAAGAAGGCCAGTTTCTTTTGCTCCAATCTTCTTGCCTCCATATATCAATTTCATCTTTCCTGAGCAGCACCATGAAGCTTGTTACTTGCATATTCAGGATCCCAAAGCAAGTTAGCATGAATTTAATATACATAATCACTTTAGAACAGAAACTATGCTCATTTTTCCACTAGTTTTTAAGGTGGACTCTTTTAACTAATTCAGAGGCAAATCAGAATTGTTCATGAAAGACTTTCCCTTCAAAGTTCTAGTGCAAACCCCTAGTTTAAAAACAGTAAAAGAAAAAAGATCAAGTGTGGAAAAAAACAAAGTTAAGGAAATTTTAAATTAGAAAACATTTATGCTATATATAATACGTAAAATATAAGACCGTTACTCAAAGACTCCTTTCAGCTACAGGCATTTGTTTGTATCCAGATTTGCTTCAGATATGATTTGTGCTTCACAGATAACCTTTTTAAATGAATTGAATGTAAGGCTCTCCACCAGCCTCCCCTCCTCAAAAAAAAAAAAAAAAGATTTTCTTCATTGTGGTGGTCTGGAACCAAACCTGCACTATCTCTGAGGTCTGCCTGTGTGTTTCACATTGGCTGTGAAACAATTTTCATTTAAATTCTCGCCACAGTTAATATCTTGGTATTTTTTGGTTCCTAGACTTTTGTAGAAACACTTTCTTGGTACAGTTGGTACAAAATTAAAACCCAAAGTCATTTTCTTCATTCCACCTCAACCTCTTTTCCTAGCTGCACATTTTTTCTTAAAGAATCACCACATCTATTAGTTGTTTTATCTCTAAACTCACCCAAATATAACTGCATTCCACTGCATGATGTTGTTTTCAGATGGTGCGCCACTGACACCCACAGGTGGGTCCTCTTGCAATCTAAAAATCCATCGTAGTAATTTTAAAATTTGAACATTCGAGTTACTAAAAAGTCCAAACATAACACCTATAGACTCTATACTATCTACTCTGAGACATAAACTGAATTTATTTCCTTGTTCTTGTGCTGAACTGGAATAAACAATCTGACAAAAAGAAAAAGAAAATTGACCAGGTATAAACTTATCAGATACAGCTCCAAATTATCACATTTTCCAAAGGGCTTGGGAGTATCCCTCTTCAAAAATCAGCAAGGTGAAGATATCTTCCAAGAATGGAGGTGTACAGGCTGCCCACAACCAAAAATAAATACCTCAAGTGCCAAAAACATGTTTACAGAACCATCAATTTTACTATTGTAATGCAGAGACTGAGAGCCCTAACCAAGGCATTTTGTGCAAAAAGGCCACCAACGCCCCCCCAACACAAAAAAAATTCCTCAGTGTAACCACTACTTATATCCAATTTGGATAGGAAACTAGTTTTAGGCACTAAAGTTACTTTGTCCCATTTGCTTCAACTAGCAATGGCTTTAAAATAATCAAAGGTTCAATTAGGTTTTCTGTCCCTTCCCATTTTAGAGGCTCTGCACTGACACTAAATCTACCTCTCAGATCAGGAGACTCAATACAAAGCTCCCTTCCAACATTTGTCACAAATTCTTGTAACCTGAAGACCCTTGGAGAACTACCAAAGGTACCGTGTGTCCGACTTGGAATAAAGCAGAGAGAAAGATGTAATAATACACATACACACACACACACACACACACACACACACACACACACACACACTGAAACAGAATAAAGCACAGAATAGCAGTTAAGATCTGGTAGTTTTATTATTGGAATTTCACTCATCCGAATTTCAGCTAATTTGTAAATCTACCGATTTCAAGCTTTAGAAGATGATTTTACACGAAATACGACTTCCCCTTTTAAAGACTCAGCAAAGTAAACGCTACATTTTCTCTCTCTCTACATACACATATGCCATGATTGTCCGGCGGTACGACACTGAAATTAATCCACATAAAAACGGGGTTTGTTATTTTTTAGTCAACCTCAAGATTGAGCCGCCCTGAACAGAAGCCTTCCAAGAAGTATGCTGCCCGACGCACACCGAGGGGAACCAGCTAAGAGAAATTCAATGATATATTGGCCAAAGCCCAAAACAATGGCTTCCGAAGGCCTCACCGACGGCCTCTCCACCCCGAGGTTGAGAAGGATTCCTGAGTGGCTAATCGAACTTTTCAGACCAGATACTTATCTCCATCAGGGCGGGTCCTCTCAGAAAAACCTTAGAAAAACGTGCAGAGGATCGCTGCGCTAAGTTTTTTCCCTTTGCCCCGCACCTCCAAGGAAAAGGTAAACAACTGAAAAAGTCACTTCCTCCTCGCCGGCCCCCACACCTCCTCGCCAGCGCCCGCGACACCTCCCCACCAAATCCCGCGTCGCAAAGGGAGACCTGGAGGCGCGGGTCAGCGCCCGGCCGGGGGAAGGCGCTCCCCCAGACTTCGGGGCTGCACACAGGGCTCCGCGCACCCGGCCCCGGGCGCGCTCCCAGCGGGCCCTGGCAGGCGGCGGCGCGGCTCGCGCCCAGGTCCCTAAGCCAGTTCTCAAGGTCCTCTCGGGCGGGCCAGGGGAGGGGAGGGGAGGAGGGAGTCGAGTTTCGGGGGCTGGGTTAACCACCTCCCGGCCTCGCGAGGCAGACCCCACCCTCACTGCGGAGGGGGGCGCCGTGCGCCCCGACGCTCCCCCTCCGAGCAGACCGCAGGGCCCAAGAACAAAGCTGATTGGCGCAGTGAGCCGGGAAAGCGCTGCTGCAAGGGGCCGCCTTGCGGGCTTAGGGAGGGGCACCGTACGGTGAGGATCAGGGGCTGGGGGTGGGGGGAAGGTTTGACCCTCGGGCAGCCGGCCCAACCAGGCAGCGGGGACTCCTGGGAGCCCATAGCCATCTTTTCACTTCTGGGGTGGACGCACAGCGAGAATTTCTTACGTCAGAGGAGCGAGCAAAAAGGATGAGGGAGTGCGAACGGGCGTTAGAACTGGCCTCCGGCCGCTCCCCCGGAGCCCACAGCCGGCCCGGAGGATCACGAAGGGAAGGTGTCCGGGATCCCCGCCCTGTAGGCCCGTAGTTCTAGGGAGCAACCGTCACCCCAGGCGAAGGGGAAGGGCCTTACCGCTTGAAATCCCGCATAAGCCTCCTCCGGGCGGGGGTCGACATGCTCCACAACTGCCCCGCAGTCCGTCTGAAAGAAAAGAGTCCCGCGCAGCCCCCCCACCCCCCGGCGCGGCGGCCGAATCACTGCGGGTCACCGCTACCGAGGCTGCACAAACAATCCTGCAATGACGTCTCCCTCCGCCGCCTCCAGATCCCTCCGCCCTCCGCCAGTACCACAGAGTGTGTGGGGGTTAGAAACATGGGGAAGAACGTATGAGACCTCCTGTGGGGGATTTTCTGCAAGGGGTTATCTATTTTGACTTCCTCAAATAATTGGAAAATTAGTATTCTCTGTGTTCAGACTAGGCATTGTGGATTAAGAGACACCGAAACCAAAACATCATCCTGTCTCTCCCCCTTTCATTGACTTAGGTCCGACCGAGTGGGGAAAAGAAGGACGCAAGCGGGGCCAGAGATTTCAGGGAAAGGCAGTGGGATGACGTAAGGCCACGTGACCGCTGGCGGCGTTGTCAACAATCCACCCTTGAGGGGGAGGTGGCGAAGTATCTAGAACCACGTGCCTCTATGACGCGATTAGAACTGGTCGCGTGAGAGCGTCCGCTGGATCTGAGTTTCAACCAGGTAGATGAAACTGGTAGTTAGGTAGACTGGACTGAGGACGGGCCAACATCCTTACTAGTTTCCCAAGCATTTGGTGCCTTGAACAGGAAGAGCAGTAGAAGTGGAAGAAGTCATGGAAAGCAAAGCTTGTTTTGCTTAAGTCTTTAAAACAAAGCTGAAAATAATTTGGATTTAAACTCCCCTCTGGTTGGTTCAGGGGCCTATCAAATCTGGTCATAGGGAAGAAAAAGTGAAGAGACTCCACTTTTTCAAGTGAGTGAGGTGTTTAATGCTGAGGCCCATACGAAGTAAAAACCCCTGATGTGCTTCCTTAGGGGAACCAAATAGCCTGTGTGGGCATTGCAGTAGGGTTTCCAGGGTTGGAAATTCTGGACAAATATCAAAGAATGGTGTAGATTGTCCAAGCGTTGTTCACGCTCCCTAGGAATGACAAAGTTTGTTTTTCCCGTTTGAAGGTTTTTGTCAGAATCCAGGGACTAGGCTATGATGGGGTGCTGTTGTTTTTGTCAAGAAATGTGGGGATGAGATCCCCAGAGAGCAGGATGTTGATGGGGGCTGGCTGTCAAAGGAACCTAGAAGTATGTTTCAAATCTGGGAGACATCATAAAGACATGAGTGAGGATTCTATGACTTGGATAACTCATTTCAGGTCTTCTACACGAGCAATTTAGGTGTAATTGCATCAGAATACACCCCCCCCCCCCTCCGCCACACACACACAGTAGTGGAGGGGTAGATCAGAGGTATTGACCCTTGTAGAGGACTCTGAACAATTTCATATCTATTAGGGTAATTCTTCAGCTCAAAGCAGAATGGGAGGGTAGAATGAGCCTTTGCATTGCCCGAAGCTGCCTATGGTGTTAAATGAAACCAGAGAGGGTTAAGTTTCCCCCTTTCCTGGTATCTTCTGTGGATAAAAAATGAGCCACATACTAAACCTCACAAGCACCGGAGGCCTGCATGGTGGGCCTTACAATTTCAGAGACCTAAAGTAGCCTCCTAGGATGGTCTGAAATGAAAACCTCCTAACTAAAAGTGAGTCAAGGAAGGTAGTCAGGTCCTTCCTACCCAGGCTTGACTACTGTCTTTTTGCATCTGTGATAACATTAGGAACGTCAGAGTAACCCCTTTTTCCAGACCCCTGGGGCAGTCTCCCCCTAGAACACGAGAATACTGAATCCCTCATTGTTTTCTTGTTCTCCGCATACCATCTTTATAAACTGTAAACGTTAACTATCCTATACTCACCAATGTAAAAGAAATATTTGAGTCTCCCTTTTACTTTTTATCCAGTCTGAGAGGTTTCCCTACGTGCCTTCTTCCACCTCCCTAATCAACAGTGAATTTCATGTTACCCCTTACATATTTGCTTTTGATTCTAATGTACAGAATGGTAAGGCTGCCATTTTTTGATTAAGAAAAGCTTACTTAGCATTTTCTTAATCCTTGAGATTTTGCTTCCTGGCACTGTCACTTTGGCTCAAGTAAACTAAAAAATTCTGTACATTTTTGGATGTTTCTTACATCAACACTCCCTTCAAACTCAGAATTCTATGTCTTGTTTTTGATAACTGCCTTTGTGATCGTTAGCCAGGCCTAACTCTTTTCCTTTAAAAAAAAAAAGAATTTATTTTTAGAGAGAGGGGAAGGGAAGGAGAAAGAGAGGGAGAGAAATATCAATGTGTGGTTGCACCTCCCACACCTCCTCTTGGGGACCTGGCCCACAACCTAGGTATGTGTCTTGACTAGGAATTGAACTGGGAACCCTTTGGTTTGCAGCCCGCGCTCACTCCGCTGAAATATACCAGCCAGGGTGGCAGGCTTAACTCTTGATAGGTCCTGCTGTTCATCCACAAATGTGATGCTTGAAATCATAAGCTGAATATTGTTTTTAACTCTTTTGCCTTCCTGCTATAGCAATCCTAACCTAACAACTAAGGATGAAGACGCACTGGTAGGATTATATACAGTGAAATGGTAAAGATAAACTTTAAAAAATCCATTATGTAATTTATCTAGCAATTTATAATTGTTTTGGAAACCTAGTTAATTTTCTAACATGAAATAACATTCTGACAAAATCAGTGAAGGTGTTTCATTAAAGCCTTAGAACACCAGTGTATAAGCAAGAATCTTTGGCTGTTGTGGTTACCAGGCCTGCCATAACCTATTTGTAGTGTTAAAAAAACAAAATTCAATAGAGTAAATTTGAAGATCTGATTGGCTCCAATTAAGCCATTCATGAATTGGGCAGCATCTCATTTAGCAACTATAAAGCCACTCTTAAGTTTTACAAAATGAAAGGTTTTGTAGGAAGAAGGGGAGACAAGGGAGCTATTAACAGAAGAACAGAAAGGATTATTTTTGGGCAGGGACAACTGTCTTGGGGTGGGAGAAGACAAAAAGGTTTTTATCATGCAAATTGTCTATTCTTTAATTAGAGGGGTGGGCAGGACCCATGTGATAGATTACTTCATTGGTGTTGACCAGGATATTCCAGGTAACCAGTCTGGAATTTTCTGGTCTAGGTTGTTTTTGGGAGAGGTTGAAAAAGCAATTAGATTCGGTATTAAGTGTACGTTTGGTATCATGGGTTTTTAGCACAAGTGATGCCATTTTGGGCCTATGGCTCAGTAAATAGTTTTAAAGGTGTAATTTTATAGTGAAGTTCTGTAGCTCTAGATTGTGAGGTCATGGAGGGCAGGGACTCTGATTCATGCTTTGCTCCTTGCAAATATTTTAAGTCCACAAATTTAATAGACTTTAGCAGCATAGAAACACTTGGTAAGTTTTTAAAATACCTATAATTTAAATTAGGCTCTCTGAGAGTAGGGCCTTTTAAAAAACTCACCTGATGTAATTTTAATGTGCATGGTAGAGTGGGACCAACTGGACTAGAATTTATTGGATAGTAATGATGTTTTCTCATTTAGGGAAAGTGAGAGTTGGCCTTTTAACATTTAACACTTTTTACAAAAAAATAAATAACTAAAGCCCCAAGAAAGTGGGTATTCCCTGGGAACTTGCTCAAGTGATATCCTTGTTATTCATTGGAGGCTGGAATGCCAGCAGAACGCCGAGTGTAGTTCTTAAGCAATTAGTTAACAGCCTTCCCCCCCCCCCCGCCCCCCCCCCCGGCCCCGTGCCCTTATATGTCCATCTAAGTGTAGTAGAAGCCACTGAATTAGTTGCTTTTCCAAAGAGGGAGTTTTACAGTTTTGACACATAACAAGGAGTTTTTTTTTAAAAGGATTACTATGAGCTTGAAAAAAAATTAAAAGCATATTGCAGGTGTTTAAGAAAGGTTCTTGATTTAAGAGCATCTTCTCCCCAGCATAAGGGTGAAAGTGCAAATTGAGCTCAAACTCAGGCCTATGGAATATGAATGTAACTAGGTAACTCAGAAAACTACAACTACACTAGGCTTGCTTGGAAGTCTTCTTTTACAAGTCCGTAGTACCTACTTAATGACACCAACCATCCTTTTAGGGCTCAGCACAAGCGGCAGGTGTTCTCTGGTGTGGGAAAAGAGGCAAAACGGCTGGACAAACCTGCGCCGCTGTTCCCCTTCCCTGCAGTATGTGCAGTCCTTCACACTGCAGTCAAGACGCCGCTTTGTGACGCCTCCCCTACCTCCGCTATAAACCAACTTTGTGAGAAGGTCCCAATTGGGCGTTTTGCAACCACTAATCCCTACCCGCAACACCAAGCGAACTTGCACTTCACGCACCCCAAGGGCTGGTCTACGCTTCTCATTTTCCCTTCCGGGTCAGGAAGCCGGGTCTATGTTCCGGTCTTGCGCAGTCGGCCGCAAGCGCGAGGCCGGCGGCATCGTTGCCATGGTAATGGGTGGCTCGGGGCTAGTGGGGCCAGCCGCCTAAGTAGGGCTGGGACTCCTCTGTCCCGACCCACCGGACTACACAATGGGCTGAGGCGGTGGCGGCTGCCCAGACGAGGTCGTCTGCCGCCGGCGAGGCTCGCGACACTGGTCTGGGACCATAAGACATCTGGTTTGAGGAGCGGGCGGTACCGAGGTTTTCTTGGGTCTCGGGACAGACCTGTGGGCGACTGCAGTATTGCGGGAACCTCCTATTTGACACGAGCATGACAGGAAGTGGGAAGAACAACCCTCGCCCCCATGACGGATGTTGACAGGTAGTGAAGGAATCTTAAAACTTAGTGTTGATGATAATAACCGAGACAACGGAGGCTCCCGAAGTTCTGGTGAGGGCCCAGGCCCCACAAAGACACCTTACTGCCGAGCTGGCAGTTTCCAAAGATAAACGATGTCTGTGGAAACGATTCTTATTTTTCCTATGTTTCTATATTTTAAAGTATGGGTTTATTGTGGAAATGCATTGTCCAGCTTGAATAAATAAAATAAAAATGTTTAACATTTCCTTTCTTTGTTTCTATGAAGAAGAAGTCGAGCTTAAGAATGGAGATGTATGAAACCCTTGGAAAAGTGGGAGAGGGAAGTTATGGAACAGTTATGAAGTGTAAACATAAGGATACCGGGCAGATAGTGGCCATTAAGATATTTTATGAGAAACCAGAAAAATCTGTCAACAAAATTGCAATGAGAGAAATAAAGTTTCTAAAGGTTTGCTTCTTTTGCCTAAGTTGCTCTATGTAAGTGAAAAATAGTTAATGAAAAAAATTATATAAGGGATATTTCAGTTAACACGTGTATTAAGACAGGTAATAGAAAAACAAGTGTGACACTTTACCTAATTGTCTACGTTTTGTAATTTTATAGTGACACAAGATATATGTGCTTATGTAACAAAAGGTATGCCAAATATTGTGAAATAATTATTCAGAAGTGTCCAGGTATAATGTTTAATAAAAATGTCTGGTTTGTGCAAGGCATTGTGCCAGATGCTGAGACTAAAATGAGGTAAAAGACAGTAACTGCTCTCGGGACTTTCATTGTTTAATCAGAAAGACAGTAGGGCATATAAAATAATACTGAATAAAAAGTTGTTCATAATAAATGCCAAGTGATTAAGACAAGGCTGTGTTGGATAGGGAAGGTTTCTTGGAAGAATTGGGACATGAATTTGGCTTTAAACGATATGTAGAATTTACATAAGAGAGAGAAACTTGTATTACAGGTTAACCGAACCGCATAGGCTCAGAGAGGCTAAAGCAGGACAAAGGACAAAAAGCAGAGACATTTGCCTGTAATACTTCCTGTACCGAAATAGAAAGAGGTGGGATTAGAGAAGTAAATTGGAGGTAGGTTTTGCAGTCTTGTCTCTGGGCTAAAGAATTAAAATCTGAGTTTCTATGAGGATGAACTTTTTAAACTCAGAGTAAAGAGATTCTATAAATGTAAATCTGGCACTATTTTTTAGAATAGATTGGAGAACTCAGTAAAAATAGGGAGGCCTGTTATATGAGTTTGATTCAGGGATACAGTTTAATTCAGGATATGTAAATGTGAGGGCCCCAGCTAGAATGCAGCAATTTGAATGGAAAGTAAAATGTAATATATTGCAAAAGTAGACACTAAAGAGTGTAGAAGGAAGTGGAACAGAGGAAGTCAAAGGTATCTTTGAGATTTGGTGAGTGCTGTCATTGGTGGAAATTTGAAAGACCTCAAAGAGACCTAGTTTGGGAACTAGTTCAGTTTTAGAAATGTTGAATTTGAGGTGACAGGAGTACATTTAAGTAGAGATGACCCGTGGGCTCTTAGAGATGGGGAACCGTATCAGGAGAGATCAGGGAAAAAGATAAGATTTTGTGTAGGTCTGACAGGTCAACCCTGGGGAAAGAACTCAGTCAGGAGTATGAAGAAAGGAGCATTAACATCCCTTGGGGATTGGGTTCAAAACTAGTGATTTAAAAATATTTAAATATATATATGTATTTTATATTTTGGAATTCATCTAGATGATTCAAGATTTATAACTTTGACATGTATTCTAGATGTTTTATGTAATGAAGAAAACAGATACTCTTCTTGCCCATTTTTATCTGATGCAAAAGTAATATTCTCTTTGTAAGTGTATATTAGATATGATGGATCAATTTGCTTTCTAAATAGAAGAAATATATCAGGCATCTGTGGATTGTAGGAACTGCTCTATTTCTAGGCAATGAAAAGGAAAGTAAAAATCAGTAAAGATGTTATATTTTTGTGAAAGGTACCAGTCCTTATCCAGATGACCTAAAACGTAATAATACGGTAAGGCAAACTGTTATGCACCGTAAATGAAAAATCAGATTAGAAGGAGAACTTTTCCCAGCCAATATCTTTCCCTTTCTTCAACTCTGTTGCATGTAAACTGATTATTTTTTTATTTAATCATTTTTTAAATTTTTATTTATTTTTAGACAGAAGGGAAGAGGGGGGAAAAATATCTATGTGGGAGAGAAACGTCGATGGGTTGCCTCTCACACAGGACCCAAATAGGGACCCACCTGCAACCCAGGCATGTGCCCGGACCAGGAATCAAACCAGCAACCCTTCGCTTGTCAGAACAACACTCAACCAACTGAGCCACACTGGTCAGGGCTATTTAATCATTTTAAAAAGCCAATTATGTAGCAAAAACACGGAGATAAATTTGAAAATGTACTTATCTGTTATAATTATTATACAGACTATTTTGAGGTACCTTAACTATTTGTATTGGTTTATTTCTTATAGAATTTTTAGTTTAATTCCACAAGAGAGATGTCTTGGATTAGTTAACATTCTTAGTCTAAAAGGATTGTCATAATGACTTAATTTGAACTAAATTTTTATCTTCTGGAGTTTCACTAAAGAAATGGCAGTGATTAGTGAGAATATCTGTATAAAAGTTATCTAGTAATGAAGGGGGAAAAGAGCAAACCACTTGAAAAGGGGTAATGGAGCATTTCTAGGAGTGTCTTGGTTTATTTGAGAGTGTGCCTGATTCCTTACCCTCGGTGGATCTTCCCTAATGCTTATTAATAACTCCCATTAACTCTTTACTGCTTTTGCCTTTAGAATAAATACTGGGTAGGAGACGGGTAATTTTCCTTAGTTAAAAGGTTAATATTGTAGTGTCCAAAAGCAGTCATTTCTCTTTGCTACTGCCAGCATGTTGTCACTGCAGCACTCTGGCATCTGGCCCCCTAGGGAAATCGGGAACCAAAATAGGAAAGGCATCTGGCATTGCATTTTGACATGTGTTTCTATTAGTCATGTTTTAAGGACTGGTTTTTGTATTAATACAGTTAAGTAGAAAAATTGATATTGTCCCATGGGAATAAAGGCAAATAATTTTCTTAAAACTATAGTTTTTTAATGAATCCTACATTGAAAGTATACCATTTAATTTTTAGCCAAATGAATAGATATTTTTGGTGATTTTTAAAAATCAAGAATTTGAGAGATGATTATAATTAAATCAGTGTATTATAAAGTAGAATAAGCAGCATAAAATATTAAAATGTTGTTTCCTAAGGTGATACATATCATTTTTTATATTTTGAAATTATTTTAACGGTGATTAATTCCAGTCTGAAAAGATGTCATGTTGTTCAATAGAATAATGGACTATTATTTTATTCTAATAGAATAGAATAATGCTTAATAGAACAAAAATGTACCCACAAATAAGTGTATATTTATGAAAAGTCCTTATGGCTATAAGTTGATATTTCATATATCTGAAAAGTTTCTAGGTATTTTGATACTCTATTGTTACAGTGTGATATCTTTTGTTACATTTGGAACTTAGATCTTACCCTCAAGAGTTTAGGACCAAACTTAGAGAATGATTAATTCATGTAAATTCAGATTACATATTCAGTAGTATTGAAATCCCTGCTCATTTGAAAACATAAGGACCTTTTAAATTTCAGATGTTAAATTTAACCACAAATCATTCTGGCGAGGTGGCTCAGTTGCTTGGAGCTTTGTCCTGTTGTCCTGTGCACCAAAGGGTTGGGAGTTTTATTCCAGTTCAGGGCACATACCTCGGTTGTGGGTTAGATCCCCAGTCAGGGGTATGTAAGGGAGGCAATTGATCATGTTTCTCTCTCTCTGTCTTTCTCTCTCTCTCCCTCCCTTCACCCTCTCCCTCTCATCCCTTCTCTCTAAAATCAATAAACATAGCCTTGGTTGAGGATTAAAAATTTTTTTTAGTTTAGCCACAAATCAAACTAAAAAGTAGGAAGACATCTCTTAGCAGCATACCAACTTGCATTATAGTACATTAACTCTAAATTATTTTAATAAGCAATTAAATGCTAACAAAGGTAAAACATTTCCCTTTGTCCTGTAAATATTAATTATGAAATTGTTAACATTTTCTTAAAAAAGGAATGTAAGCAAATCAGTTGAGAAATCTCTGTTGAAATGCATGGAGGAAACGAAGCTGAGAATATTTCTACTTCTTTTTAATATGTTATAGGTGTTATATGTACAAATTATTGTGCATGAAATAATTTATTAAAATTCTGTTTCTTTTGTCAATAGCAATTCCATCATGAAAATTTGGTCAATCTGATTGAAGTGTTCAGACAGAAAAAGAAAATTCATTTGGTGTTTGAATTTATTGACCACACAATATTAGATGAATTACAACATTATTGTCATGGACTAGAGAGTAAACGACTTAAAAAATACCTCTTCCAGATCATTCGAGCAATTGAATATCTTCACAATAATAATGTAAGTGCTACAGAATAAGCCAAACTATAGAGTGTATGTGAATGATAAGTACCCTTTAAACATTCTTCTGTTTATATTAAGGTTGCTAAAATTATTTTTCTGTACAATATTGACATCCTGAAAATAGGATCACTACCTTACATACAATTTAGTTGCAGAACCAAAATACATACTGAGCACCCAGTATTTATAGTTATAGGGCAGACAGTTATAGGGATGCTAAAGGAGGTATTAATAAGTTTGGTACAGAGTCAACTGGGGCATCTTTTATTAGAGACAGTACATTTAAAACATTGAAAGCTCTGCTGGCTCAAATGAAGGGAGGGTTAAGGAGGAACTAGAAAAGGCAAGGGGAATGGCAAGTGAACGTGGATGCCTTTAGCGGAAGAAAAGAGAAATATAGTAGCCAAGAGATACAAAGCCTTGTTTAACTTATGGAAAGTCAGGAAGGGAAAGAAAAGCAACTCGTCTGATTTTTGGTGTTGCCTTTAGCGTTGCTCAGTATGTATTTAGCTTAGTGGATTTTTATGGAGATGCTTTGTTCTCACCATGAGCTCTACTTTCTGGAATGTTAGATGTTATTCAGAAAATGACAGGAAAAGCCTCAAAAGTAGTTTTATTAGTAAGTGATACAATTATAACATCTATATATATCTCAGACTTTTTCAGACATCCTAATTTCTAATTTTCTCTCTTGCTAATAGTGCCTCACATTTTGCTGCTTTGAAAAAATACGGTTGTGATAGCAACTGGAATTCAGATTGTAATTTCCTTGCCAGATAGATCAGTGAGAGGCAGTATAACTTGAGAGTTAAGAGCACCCAGTCTTGGGTTTTCACCCACTGACTTATCTGTGGATAAACACACAACTTGTGCACTTCACAACCTGCACAATGAAAGGTGGCAGCCCCATTACTCTATGGCCCCAAGAAAGTTGTCTAACCTCTCTGAGCTTCATTTCCTTTACCTGTGAAGGGATACTGTTGTACTCCACAATTCTTTGTAAAGATCAAGTTAGGTAGTAGGCCTAAAGTGTTTAGCAGATTGTCAGGCACATTTTAAGTGCCCAGTAATAGTGTTGGTAGGGAGTCCAGACTAGTGATGTTATCTGTATTTCTGCACTGCCTTGTCTATCATAGACTTTAAAAATGTGTCTTGAATAAAGGGAGGTACCAGTATGGGCTAGACTGAGAGTAGAAAGCTTTGAAGAAGAGCTAAAACTAAAGTAAGTACAATTTTGAACTGTAACTATGATTTCACTAGAAGAAGAAACACATTCAGATAGGGCACCACTGTGAGAATAGAGGTCGGCCTGGGCAGAGGACTTCAGAGAGTGGTGATACGTACACTTACAGAGACCAGGTAAGGGGAGATAAGATTGCACAGGTGCCCTGGGGAGAGGTTTTCAGGGCTTTGAAATCATCCTGAAGAGTTTGAACTTTTTCCTGAGGATACTGGGAAACCATAGAAAGTTTTCAGTATTGCTTTGCTAGGATTAAAAACAAAACATTATTTCAGCAAGAGGGGAGAATAAGCATGGAGAGGGACAGGGAGATGGGGGAGAGGCTGCTGTGACAGCCCAGAAATGAAGTTGTGAGGGCTCCGGCTAGCCTCGTGGCGGTGGGAAGGGGAGGAAGAATGGCAGTGGGAGGGACGGAAAGACTGTGACAGAGAAATGTCAGGATTTGGGAATGACTTAGATATGAGAGGGATGCAAACGGGGAGAAATTGAAGATAATTCCAATATTTTTAATTTGAGAGCAGGAGAATTGCAGTGCTGTTGGCAGTAACTGGTTTTAGAAAGGGGAATTGCTTTCAGATGTATTGATATATTTCAAGGGACAATGAGAATGTTTAAGTAAAAATAGTGCTTAACCAATTGTATAACATGGCCTTAGGAAGTTGTCAGAATTGGGTATACAGATTTGGGAATCTTCCTCTTGGAGACTCTGGTTGAGGAGGTAAGGGTGGACTATTCTCGAAGGGACAGAGAGAAGTGAAAGGTGGCCCTCGGCCCCAAGTACGAAGGAACGTCTGTGAGCATGTGTGGGGGCAGCAGGGAAAGAGGCCTGGACAGGAGCCCCCACATTTTCATGTTTTCTTAGTCTCATCCAGGACCTGGAGTAAAATTATCTCTGCCCCTCACCTCACAGAATGAGAACAAGAATTAAGGCAGTGGCTCTTTAGAATAAATATTATACTTTTTATCTGGATATCTGGATTCTGGCCTTGATGGTTGAAGGCTATCTTCATGTTGACAAAAATCAAGAAAGGAAACCGTTATTTTCCTAATATCTCCAAATTCGAGGTGATTGAGTTTTTATATAACTGAAATGTCTGAGACATTCTCTGCCATGATACCCTGGGTCCCCCTCAATAAGAATCCATGAAGTCAGATACAGTTCAGTAACAGCAAAAGCTTTTTTTGTCTGGAAGTATTTATTTACCTTCTTTTATTTAATAATGAAAAGATTTTTTATATTGGTTTCTAGGCAGCTCTGACAGAAATTTAATGTTCAGTTGCAGTAACTAACTATAAGAACCTAGTTCATCTTTTTCATTTGGGTGGTTTTGTAATTTAAAGTTTTTATCTGATTATTAATATAAGCCTCTTCAAAACCATTTAGAAGTAGTCAGAGTGTAAATGAGAATAGTTGGCCGCTTATAGGGAGGAGGTGGTGATTCCCTCATTTATTAATTCAACAAGTATTTACTGAACATTTTCTAGTAACAGATGTTGATTGTACTAGGTGCTGAGGACGCAGTCTCGAGTAAGAGACTTGGTTCCCACCTTTATGGAGCTTATTAAATTTTATCCAATTTTGACTGAGCACGGGCTGGGAACCAAAGTGTCCCAGGTTTGATTCCCAGCCAGGGTACATTCCTGGGTTGCAGGCCATAACCCCCAGCAACCACATATTGATGTTTCTCTCTCTCTCTCTCTCTCTCTCTATCTCTATCTCTCTATATCTCCCTCCCTTCTCTCCCTAAAAATAAATAAATAAAATCTTAAAAAAATTTTATCCAATTTTCAGTAAACTTTATTAATTATAAGGAATTTTGATTAATGACTAAAAACTATTAATCTTCCCTCACTCCAACCCCACTTGCTACTTCACAAAGCTCTGCTTCCCTAAATTTAGGTCATTTTTGCATATTTTCTTAACTCTTCTTTTGGATTTTAAACTCATAGTCTTTCAAACAAGGAATTATTCTTTGAATAATATTGTTAACATTTCAATATTACTTAATATATTTTAATGTGTAGTTAATATTTAGGTATATGTGCTTCCTCTATTTTGTTTTTTGAAGTATTTTAAGTTATAGGCAACCTGACATTTTATCCCCAAATACTTCACTATATATCTCTTTAAAAGAGCATATTTTTATATAAATTCACAGTCATTACACCACATCTGCACAACTAACAATAATTCCCTAAGTCATTTAATATCAAATTTGTATTAAAATTTAGCCAATTGTTCCTAAAATGTTTTTTACAGATTTTACATTTATTAAAATCAGGATCCAATCAAGGATTCCACTTGCCATTTTTAGGGCAAATAGGGAATTCCCACTCTTGCAGTCTGCTTCAAACATCCTTATTCATCCTCCTTCTGGAAGCTGTTGGCTTATTTTTTTCACATAGACATTAGCATTTAATTGTGTAACATTCAATTGGAAAGTTTATTAAATTGAAGCTCTAAGTGATTTAGAACCAGGCTCTCTGAGGCCATTAAAGGATATGGAAGTTCAAACTTTATTCTGAAATGGCTGTTTAAATTCAAGCGCATAGGGCTGTATAGAGCAGAGGTATTGTAAATCAGATCATTAAGTGGAGTTTTATGTAGTTCTGGAGCATTTCACTAATAAGTAAAGGAGGATCAAACTCATTGTTAAAATCCAAACAATGATAGTTAACACAGTATACAAAATTAACTCAAAACGGATCAAAGATCTAATGTAAGAGCTAAAACTATAAAACTCTTAGAAGAAAACATAGGTAAAAATCTGTATGACTATGTATTAGGCAATAGTTCTTTAGAGATAACACCAAAAGCAATCAAGGACAAAATAGAGAAATTCTTCGTTAAAATTAAAAATTTCTATGGACCAAAGGACCTCAAGGAAATAAAAAGACAGTTTAAAGAATGGAAGAAAATATTTACAAATCATACTATAACTGATGAACATCTAGTATTCAAGATATACAAAATACAACTCAAAATAAAAGATAACTCAATTTAAAAGTGGGCAAAGGACTTGAATAGAATTTCTCCAAAGAAGATACACAAATGGCTGCTAGCACATGAAATGTTGCTCAATATCATTAGTCATTATGGAAATGCAAATTAAAATCAAAATGAGACACTGTTCATATGCATGAAGCTGGATGTAATTTAGAAAACACAACAAACGTTGGCAAGGAAGTGGAGAGATTGGAACCTCATGTACAGTTGGTGGGAATGTAAAGTGATGCAGCTGCTATGGAAAACCGTTTGGCAGCTCCTCAAAAAGTTAAATGTATAATTACCATATGACCCACAAATTCCACTCCTAGGTATCTGCCCAAGAGAACTGAAGATACATATTCACTAAGACCCTGCACAGGAATGTTCACAGCAGCATTTTCATAATAGCCAAAATGCAGAGACAACTAAAGTGTATAGCATCTGATGAATAAGGTAGCTCCATGCCATGGAATTTATTCAGCCACGAGAAGAAATTAAGTACTGACACGTGCTACTGCATGAATGAACCTTGAAAACTTAATGTTAAATAAAAGCAGTCAGATGCAAAAGACTACAGTGTAAATGCCATTTACATGAAATCTCCAGAACAGGCAAGTTCATATTTGCATATCTTCTTTGAAGAAATGTTTCTTTAAGTCCTTTGCCTATTTTTAAATTGGGCTATTTTTATTGTTGAGCTGTATTTTATACAATATGGTTTGGATACTAGGTGATTATCAGGTAGATATATGACTTGCAAATATTTTTCTCTCATTCTGTGGGTTGTCTTTTTGCTTTTTTAAAAAAACCCTTACCCAAGGATATGTTTCCTGTTTTGAGAGAGAGAGGAAGGGAGAGAAAAAGAGAGAAACATTGAAATGAGCAAAAAACATCAGTTGCTTCCCGTACACGCCCAGACTGGGGATTGAACCTGCAACCTTTTGGTGCAGGGTTCACCAACACTCCAACAAAATGAGCCACCCAGGGAGGGGCTTTTTAATAATTTCTTTTTCTTGATTGATATTCTTGATTTGGTGAGACATTGTGTTCATACTTTTCTTTCATTCTTTGGACATGGTTTCCTTTAGCTTTGAACATATTTAAAATAGCTGATTAGAGTCTTTGTCTGGCAAGTTCAATGTCTGGGTTTCCTCAGGAAAAGTTTCTTATTGACAGTTTTTCTTTCCTGTGTATGGGCCATACTTGTTTCTTAGAATAACTTTAATGTGGTATTCACTCTGAAAATCAGTTTCCTGTCTCTCAGGGTTTGTTGTTGCTGTTTGTTGGGGTGGCTATTTGTTTAGTTACTTTCCTGAACTAATTCTGTGAAGTCTGTTTTCATCATGTGAAATCTCTGCTCAGCTACCTTAGTGGTTAGCTAATGACTGGACATAGGTTTACTGAAGCACCGGAAACCAGCAAGTCTCTCAGCCTTATTTACTGAGGGGCTCTTTCTGTGTATTGGGACATGCCTTCAATGTTCAGACAAACAATTTAGAGCTCTGCCTCAGCCTTACCTTTCTGCTTGTGCAGAGCCTTAAAGTCAGCCAGAGGCAAGACTTTAGGACCATCTTGGGTCTTTCCAGCATATGCACAGCTCTGCACATGGCCTTGATTCTCAGCACTGTGTTAGAGCTTTGCCAACCCTTTATGAACATCTCACTTCCAGCCTCTCTAAACATTGATGAGAGAAGTGAAGGAAGACCTAAACAAATAGAAAAATTCTGTTTATGAAGGTCTCACTGTGATTGTGGAAGACCAAGGAGGATGTTGTCAGAACATACAATTTTAAGAGTTGGGATTCAGAGAATGTGTGGTTCTCACGGGTAATACAACTCTGCATGCGGTCGTGCTGTTAGCTGTTGGAAAGAGTGAAAATGTTAGGGTGGCAGCTGGGTGGCTCCTTCTGCTGTCCATCCAGAGCACGGAGGAGAAGGGTGGTGGATGTGTGGTGGTCATTGTGTGTGGTGGTATCCTAATGTGCTTGTTCAGGTCTACTTTTGTTCACATTACATCCTTGGATTTTGGAATAGTCACTGGCATGTAGTAATCACTCAGTAAAAATTTTGGAAGTAAAAATAGATCCATGTAGTTGTACAGGTGGCACCTGTAATATGGCTCATTACCCTAAGTTAAATTTTGGTCATTTATGGAGGAACACTGAGGCAGAACAAGAGTCAATCCCAAAGATATAGCAGTAAGTTTTATAAACAAGGAGAGAGCTCAGATTTCTGTCACTGAAATATTTTCACTTGTGCTGTGATACCTTTCTAGTGATGACAACATACTTCATTAATTTGATAAAGTTTTAAAATGCTTTCTTTGTGTTAGGCACTGTACTGGACAGTGGGAATATAGCTTAAACAAGACATACCATATTTTGCTGCATATGATGCGTTCCTGTGTACAATGTGTAACCATGCATTAGCACCAGTTCCCATGTATAACACACATTCTATTTTTCCCTAAAAAAATTGGGCAAAAAGTGCACATTATACACAGCAAAATATGCTACATCTCACCCTCATGCAGCTTACAGTCTGGTGGGAGTCACAAACAAGTAAACAGGCAATTAATAATACAGCACAACGCATACTGTGATAGGGGAAGTACAGGATGTTATGAAAACAAATGGAAGGAACATCTAAGCTGAGACCTGAGGAAACAGTTGTCCAGGCAGTTGAAGCAGCATCAACAAACGCACAGATGAGACAAATGCTAGAAAGTTGAGAAACTAATATTCTAAGGAAAGAGGTGGAGAAGGCTGAGAAAGCAAACTGGGTTCAAATCCTACAAGGCTTTAGAAGCCATTTTAAAGAGTTTCAAATTTGTCGTGTAAGGCAGGGAATCCTTGAAGGATGTTAAACAGAGAAGCAACATGATCACATGTGGTTTTAAAATAGTACTGTGACTTCATTATGGATGGTGGATTGGTGGGCATCAGAGTGAATGCATGAAGACCAGTTAGCAGTGTTGTAATTTTCAGTGAGAGAGCTGTGGGGCTGGCGGGGGCGGGGGGGGGGGGTTGAACTTGAGTGAGAAGGAGATAGGTTAAGAGTATATGGGAGATGAGGGAGAAAAATACCTGGGTTTCTGGGTTGAGACATGGGTCATTATGGTTCCATTCACTGAGCGAAAGGACTACCAAGCACAAGTAAGTTTGGGGGAGATGATGTGTTTAGTTTTGGATCTGCTAAGTGGGATTTCTTATGGAATCCACTCTTTGCAGAAACCAAGAGTGATGTCTAGAAATAGAAATTAGACATAGAAATTTGGAAAGCATCAGTATATGGATAGTTACTAAAGTTATAAAAGTAGATGAGATTGAGATGGAGTAGCCAATAGGTGAAAAGAAGCCCAAGAGAGTATGGAGTCCCCATAACCAAAGGAAGAAAGTGGTCCAAAAAAAAAAAAAAAAAAAAAAGCAGATGAGATTGTTCAGGAAGCATGATGTATGAGAAGAGAAAGCCTAAGATCAGAACCCTGTATTTAAGGGACTGATAGAGAAGAATTGCTGCAGAGCTAGAAAGAGCCTGGGAGAGTTTTAGGTCCTAGAAATCAGTTACGGGGGAGTGGTTGGCAATGATTTTACACTAAGATATTAAGTAAGGTATGTATTGAGGGATGTCTCTTTGGATGTAGCAACAATTAAGTTGTTGACATTAGCTCAGGCCAGTTAACGGAACATGCAAGCAGAAAACAGATTACTTTGAGAAGGGAATGAGTGGACATAAAGTGAAGGATGAGTAATGGTGATGACTTCGAGAGGCTTAGCTGTGAAGGAAATGAGAGAAAGGGCAGTACCTGGGCTGTGACATGGGGCTAAAGGAAAAGTTCAACTTTTTTTGTTAAGTTCTTTTGTTTACTTTTCCTTTTAGGAATGTGACTTACCTTTTTAGTATTATACTTGTTTTCTTTTGAAATTTTTCATTTTTTTGAGAGAGAGAAGGGGATTTGTTGTTCCTCTTATTTATGCATTTATTCATTGATTATTTTATGTGCCCTGACAGGGAATCAAACCCACAACCTTGGCATATCAGGATGATGCTCTAACCAACTGAGCTGCCCGGCCAGGGTCTATACTTGTTTTTTTTATTTTCTTTCATTACGAGCTGATGTATGGGGCAAGAATTGAAAATGTACAACTTTAGCTTTTGCATTGTGTGACTAATTCTTTGCATGTGGTAAGAAATAGCTTTACTATCTTAATTAGCTAAATTTTCTATGTATAACTTTTGTGAGATTCTCTGGGTAATGAAACCTCATTTTAATGTATTGCATCTTCTGTTTGTTTTCTAGATCATTCATCGGGATATAAAACCTGAGAATGTTTTAGTATCCCAGTCAGGAATTACTAAACTCTGTGATTTTGGATTTGCACGAACGCTAGCAGCCCCTGGGGACATTTATACAGACTATGTGGCCACGCGCTGGTATAGAGCTCCAGAATTAGTATTAAAAGATACCTGTTACGGAAAGTATGTATATTTTGGGATGTCTCTGGCCTTTCCTGTCAATCTCTATTTTTCCTTTGGTGAATCTGTCACCCCTACTACGGACACCCTCTGCCTTCTGCATCTGAATTGGGGATAAGAAAGAGACACCTCCACGTAGAACAGAGGCCTCATAGGCACCTGCCCTGCTGGCTGTAGATGTTGACGTGCTTGCTTTTTGGGGCTGAATGGCCCCAACTCCAGGAGACCCATGGAGACACCCCTCAGACTATATCCATGCTTGCTTTAGTGCCCCATCCTTGGCAGAGTTGCCTTCTCTGCTTATCTTGAGCCTCTACATTCTGCAAAGATTTTAAAAATAATTTACCTCACTCTGTCCTGGCTGGTGTGGCTCAGTGGTTTGAGCACTGGACTGCAACCAAAGGGTTGCCGGTTTGATTCCCACTCAGGGCACATGCCTGGGTTGCAGGCCAGTTCCCCAGTACAGGCATGTAAGAGGCAACCACACATTGATGTATCTCTCCCTCTCTTTCTCCTTTCCTTCCCCTCTCTAAAAATAAATAAAATTTAAAATAAAATTTACCCTACTATAAGAACTGCCAAGTTTCCCATTTTCTGGAATATGGCATTCTCTTTGCAAAGACTGGCAAGTAATAATTTTTAAATTATACTGTTCCAGATGCCTCAAAAAGTAGCATGGTCTCAGTTTATTGTGCAACAATAGATACAGTGTATGAAATAGCAACCTAATATGCAAATAATGAATCTGAGAGAACATAAAGGAACCACGTTGTACAACTAATACAAGAAATGGAGGGGGGCGCCCTGACCAGCTTAGCTTAGTGGACTGGGCATCGTCCTGCAAAGTGAAAGGTCACCAGTTGTATTCCTGGTCAGGGCACATGCCTGGGTGCTGTGCCAGGTCCCTAGGTGGGGGCATGCAAGAGGCAACCGATCAGTGTTTATCTCCCACATCAATGTTTCTCTTCCTCTTTTTATCTCTCCCTCCCCCTCTCTCTAAAAATAAATAAATAGTATTTGTTTTAAATTTTAAAAAGTAGGGGGATAATTTTTGTGTGCTTTTTCTAGAACTCATTGTTCTCTTTTTATATATATTATCTAATATTAAAGAGTACTTTGTGTCAGAAATTGTTCTAAATGCTTTACATGCATTAAATCATTTAACTTTCACAATAACCCTATGATGAAAGTGGTGCTATTGTTATCCTCACTTTAAATAAGAGGACAGTGAGGCACAGAAAGGTAAGCCAATTTGCTGGAAGTCACTCCATAGTACCTTTTCTACTGTACTTACCACTAATGCCCTACCAGACCGTCTCCCTGCTGTGAGTACCAGAAGGAGAGGAGAGAAAGGAGAAGAAAAAATATTAGAAGGCATAGTGAATGAAAAGGGACCAGATTTATTGAAAAACGATAACCAAGAAGCTCAACAAACTCCAAGTACGATCAAGTCAAAGAAAGCCACAAACAGACATAGCAATAAGATGCCAAAAGTTAAAAACAAGAAGAAAATCTAAAAACAGCAAGAGAAAAGTAATTCATCACTTACAGTGGCACTTCCATAGGAATAACAGCTAATTTCTCAGTAGAAACAATGTAGGCCAGAAAGTAGTGGTACAGCATATTCAAAATACGTAAAGAAAAAAATTACTAACCAAAACTCCTATATCCAGCAAACTTATCTTACAAGAATAAAGGTGAAATAAAGACTTTCCCAAATAAACAGAAATGGAGAATTTGTTGCTAGCACCCCTGCCTAACAGGAATTACTAGAGGAAGTGCTTCAGGCTGAAAACATGTGACCCCAGAGAGTAATTTAAATCCACAAGAAAAGCAATGAGCACAGTAAAGGTACTTATGTTACTATAAAAGATACTGTATTTTGCCATGTATAATGTGTACTTTTTTTGCCCAAATTTTTTAGGGAAAAGTAAGGATGCACATTATACATGGGTGGTACTAATTCTGTATCTTTATACATGTTTTTAATTCTTTTATTTATGTTTATGCATTAAAAGTATAACTCTGGAAAACAATAATGATATCCATATGCAAAATAATACCTTGGAATATGATCATTGGTTTTGTTACTAAATATAAATAAATTAAAAAATTAAAATGAAAGATTTTTTTCCTGAAAGTTTGGGCCAAAAACAAGGGTGTGCATTATACACTGAAGCGCATTGTACATGCCAAAATATGGTAGCATACATTCATATCTTTATCCCTTATTCTCTTGTATGATTTTAAAGGCAATTGTATGAAATAGTATGCACATAATATATTGTTGGGCCTATAAACATATAAATATATAAATGTATATTTTATATGTATATTTGCCAATAACAACAAAAAGAATGTAGGGCGGAGCCGAATTATATTTGGCTCAGGAAATGTAAGTATCATATCATAGATTGTGAAGTAATAATTAAAACAATGTATTGTTTGGTTTATAACATAAATAGATGTAATATGTACAGCAAAAATACCACAAAAAAAGGGAAACAGACTAGAGTTATATAGGAATAACTTGTCTTTATATGTATCACTGGAATTAAGCTAGTATTTGTTTCCCCAGCTGTCCAGAAGTAGGGCATCCCCATACCCTATTGCTTATCCCTAAATCATATCTCCATCTAAACTTTGCACATTATAAGTTCTGTGCCAGTTAATATTCAATGTGGCCTAGCTGTACTCTAGCTACTGTTTTTTAAATATTTCTAGCTGAAAGATAAGTTCCTTGAGGAGCAGTAGAATCTCTTGTACTCCACAGAGCCAAAGTCGGTGCCCTGTACATGGCAAGTTTGGATTCTATGAGGCCTCACATTGTGTTTAAAATAGATTTGCTTGTGAGTGTTGTTTTTTTTTTAAATTGATTCTAGAGAGGAAAGAAGGAGTGTGAGAGAGAGAGAGACAGAGGAACATCAATTTGTTATTCCATGTATTTATGCATGCATTCATGCCTGATTCTTGTATGTGCCCTGACCGGGGACTGGAACCACAACCTTGGAGTATGGAGGCGATGTTCTAACCAACTGAGCTACATGGCCAGGGCTGTGAGTGTTGTTTTTTTTAAAAAAAACCTTTCATTGTAAAACAAAATACAGGTACCAGAAAAGCCTACACAATAAATGTATACCTTACCATCAGATCAAAAAATAGAATTTTGCCCTTGTTGGTGTGGCTCAGTTGGTTGGAATGTCATCCTGTGAACCAAAAGGTTGGGTGTTTCATTCCTAGTCAGGGCACATGCCTAGGTTGTGGGTTCAGTCCCCAATTGGGGTGCATATGGGAGGCAACCAATCAATGTTTCTCTCTCACATGGATGTTTCTCTCTTTCTCTCTTTCCTCCTTCCTCTCTCTAAAATCAATAAACTAATTTTTTTTAAAAATACAATTTTTTGGTCACCCCAGAAGACCTTCCATGGGCCCTATTCTAATTATAACACTTTCTCTTCCCCCAAAAATAACCATGTCATTGACTTCAGTTACTTTGTATTTCTTTATACTTTTACACCCAAAGTACATCTACTTAGTTTAATCTAGCCTTGTTTTATGCCAGCTTCTTTGAGATATGATTCGAATACCTATACACAATTCACCCATTTAAAGTGCACAATTCAGTGGGTTTTAGTATATTCACGGAGTTGTGCAACTGTCACCACAATCAATTTTAAGGCATTTTCATCACCTCACAATGAAACCTTGTGCCCACTAGCAGTTACTCTCAGAGATCGCTTTACACTAGCACACATAGACAGACCTATGTCATGATTAGGTTGTTTCCAATGCTCTTCTACCACAGTGTTGCTGTGAAATGTTTATATTTGTGCACATGTGCAAGTAGATTTTTGGATCAATTTCTAGGAATAAAGTACTTGGTCAAAAGTAACTTTTCCAATTTTTCCTCCAAGAAGTTATGTAAGTTTACACTCCCAGAACAGTACCTATGTGTATTTGCTTTCCACAGCCTCACCAGCAGTAACCGATCTCATTGTGGTGTTTATTTGTATTTCTTCTGAAGGTGATGTTGGGGATCATTTTTAATCTATTTAAAAGCCCCAGTGATATAAACTAGCTTTTAAAAAACTAATTGCATAGGAAAAAAGTTTGAATTATGGGTGACTCACAATGTGTTAAGATAAATAAATAAAATGTAAGTGATTAATGTTTGAGATTTTTAATATATACTTTTTAAGTACAAGGTGATTTTAGTATTCAATTGTTTTAATTCATAAACTATTTATCATAATGTTCTTATGTAAGTATCTGAAACAGTTTTAGAATTATAGTTACTTTTTATCTCAATTGCTGCATGTGATAATATTTAATATATATGTATATCCTAAAGTTGGCATATGATACTACAGTGAAAATTTATAAATAATACTACCTAACCATTCTTTTTTCTTTGTCCTTTATTTTAAAAGTTCTTTTAGACAATATGTTTAATGTATCTCTCCATGAAAAAGTGGTTTATTCTTACCTGTTTCAGGCCTGTGGATATCTGGGCTTTGGGCTGTATGATCATTGAGATGGCCACTGGAAATCCCTTTCTTCCTAGCAGCTCTGATTTGGACTTACTTCATAAAATTGTTTTAAAAGTAGGTAGGTATTACTGAAATACAGTGTGAAGTGCCTAAAACAAATGTTTCCAGATCAATTTTGCTTGACTTTCAAATTTAGTTTTCTCATTATAAGAACAGGGAAGCATCTTGTTTGGATAGATGACAGCAGATGGAAGCCTTGAGCTGATAAAGAAAGCAGAAAATTCTCTTCTGTTTTTACAAATAATATTTTGTTTGCCAGGATGCAAATAGCTAAGCCATATGTTGATGGCTGATAATTAGAAAAAATGGTACAGTAGGAATCCTCTTCAATTGGTCTAAAAGTTGTTTTAAAATTTTGGCTTCTACAAATATTTGCATACTCAAAGAAGACTTTTAAATTATATATTTAATTTATGTTTTTTTGTATTTTATTTAATCTTTATTGTATTTTTTCCATTACCCTTTAGTCCCCTTATACTCCCATGCCCCCAGCAATCACCACACTGTTGTCCATGTCCATGAGCCCTTTTTCCTTTTTGCTCAATCCTTCCACCTCCTAACTTCCTCCCCACTAGCTGTCATCTGCTCTCCATCTGAGTCTGTCTCTGTCTTGTTAGTTGAGTTTGTTCATTAGATTCCACATATGAGTGACATCATATGGTACTGGTCTTTCTCTGCTAAGCGGCTTATTTCACTTAGCATAATGTTCTCTGGGTCCATCTATACTGTAATAAAGGGTAAAATTTTCCTTTTTTTATGGCCAAGTAGGATTCTGTTGTATAAATGTCCCATAGTTGTTTTATCCACTCATCTATTGATGGACACTTGGGCTGCTTCCATATCTTGGTGACTGTAAATAATGCTGCAATGAACACAGGGGCACTTATGTTGTTTTGAATTAGTGTTTTGGGTTCCTTCAGATATATTCCCAGAAGTGAGATTTCTGGGTCAAAGCCAAATCCATTTTTAATTTTTTGAGGTATCTCCATACTGCTTTCCACAGTGGCTGCACTAGTTTGCATTCCCACCAATAGTGCAAATGGGTTCCCCTTTCTCCACATCCTCACTAGCACTTGTTGCTTGCTGATTTATTGACATTAACCATACTGACAGGTGTGAGATGGTATCTCACTGTGGTTTTAATTTGCATTTCTCTGATGATTAGTGACATTGAGCATCTTCTCATAATGGCTATTGGCCATCTGTATGTCCTCCTTGGAGTAGTGTCTATTCAGGTCCTTTGTCTATTTTTTAATTGCAGTGTGTGTTTGTTTGGTGTTGAGTTTTATAAGTGCTTTATACATTTTGGATATTAACCCCTTATCAGATGTATTGGTGAATATGCTCTCCCATTCTTCGGGTTGTGTTTTTATGTTGTTGATGATCTCCTTTGTTGTGCAAAAACTTTTTAGTTTGATGTAGTCCCATTTGTTTATTTTTTCTTTTGTTTACCTTGTTTGGGGAGATATGTCTGATAAAAATTTGCTGTGAGTAATATCTGAGATTTTGCTGCCTATGTTTCCTTCTAGGATTTTTATGGTTTCAGGTCTAACATTTAAGTCTTTGGCCAATTTTGAATTTATTCTTGTGTGTGGTATAAGAAGATGGTCTAGTTTTCATTTTCCTGCATGTATCTGTCCAATTTTCCCAACACCATTTATTGGCTAAACTATCTTTAACCCACTGTATGTGCTTGCTTCCTTTGTTGAATATTAGTTGACTATAAATGTATGGGTTTATTTCTGGGTTCTCTATTCTGTGCCATTGATCTATGGGTCTGTTATTATACCAGTACCATGCTTTTTAAAAGCATGTGGACATAGAAAGTCAATTATTTGCTGCAAAAAACTTTTTTATCATGGTAGATAACCAAATAGCTAAATAACCTATTCAAAAATATATTTGATGAAAACTGAAATTGATTATCTGCTTTGACTGCTGAAGCATTTTGATGGATAGCCTTGCTCATGGGGTTTGTGTGTGTGTATACACACACATAGTATATACACACACACATATTATATACATACACACATAGCTTAAATACAATGTGTACCTATATATATGAATGAGGAGCTGGAGGAGCCCTTTCTGAGGTGGGGAAGCTACACATGAACACGTATTTACAGGATCATGAGGAAAGTACTGTGAACAACTATAAAAACCATGTAATCTGGATAAATATTTCTTTTAAAGGGTTTATTTATTTAGAGAGAGGGGAAGGGAAGAAGAGAGGGAAAGAAACATCAATGTTTGGTTGCCTCTCACACTACCCCTACTGGGGACCTGGCCTGCAACCCAGGCATGTGCCCTGACTGGAAATCTAACTGGTGACTCTTTGGTTTGCAGTCCAGTACTTAATCCACTGAGCCACACCAGACAGGGCTGAAATCTGGATAAATATTGATTAAGGATACAGTCAGAGCCTTAAAGCATCACATTTTTGTGTCATCTTTAAAGTTTTGGTTATAAGATTAATGTTAGAAGAAAACCTAGAGATAGTGGGATCATTCTTTTTTCATTTTAAAAATGAAGAAACCATGGCACAGAAAGGGAGGCAGTTTTCCCAAGGTCACAGAACCAGTTGTGTAGCAAAACTAGTACTAGAACTTAGCTCCCTTCACTTCTATTTATAATTTCTTTCCATTCTACTACTATTATTTAGCTTTGTTTTTTCTCTGCAATATTTCTATTTCTAAATAATTGTAATATGTTAGCTATTCTGAGTAAGGCTTTTTTGATGAATGCTTGCTAGTTAGGCCATTTAGATAATCATATGGAAATATGTAAAGGTTCATATTTTATTTTCCTGATAGCACCATATATTATGTGTTATATTGTGGGAGAAGAAAATAAGCCTGGTTGTTTTACATTCTCTAGTGCCTGTGTGCTACCAACAGATTACTGGGGAAACTTCAGTTTTTTATGCTATATTAAGATAGTTTCTTGTTCAATTTTAAAAAATTAAAAGGTGTAAATGTTACTTTCTTTTTAGTAACTTAATACACAACACATAGCAATTTGATTATCATTTTGAAGATATTATTTATTTATTTTCAGAGAGAGGAGAAGGGAAGGAAAAGAGGGAGAGAAACATCGATGTGAGAGAGAAACATTGATTGGTTGCCTCCCATACGTGGCCCTACTGGGGATGCGCCTGCAACCCAGGCATGTTCCCCAATCAGGAATCAAACTGGTGGCTTTTTGCCTTGAGGAACAATACCCAACCAACTGAGCCATACCGGTTAGGGCTGATTATTTTTATTGTAGACTAATTTCTCTCTTCTTATATATTTTTCTCTTTTCAGGCAATTTGACACCTCATTTGCAGAATATCTTTTCCAAGAGTCCAGTTTTTGCTGGAGTGATCCTTCCTCAAGTTCAACACCCCAAAAATGCAAGAAAAAAGTACCCAAAGCTAAATGGATTGTTGGCAGATGTTGTTCATGTACGTTAAGAGATTAAGGACTTATTTCTGAGGAATTTGCATAAATTATAATATAGTTTTAGAGTATTACTTCAATGAAATTATAAAAGGATTTGTAGAGTAATGGTATCTGTTAAAAGTACTATAGTCTTGTCTTTGTGGTTAGCTCAGAGAAAGTAAAATTCACAGATTATTAGAACTGAAAGCCCACTAGGGTAATCTTGTTTATTATTTTTAGTTTGCCTCAACTTTAATAATAATTAGGGATAAACTGGGAAAATTCTAAGGACTTATTTGTTTATTATCACCTTTTACTAACCACTCTCCCTAAGTTAGGGAGCTGTCCCACCACGTACAGTGGCATCCTCAGGTATCTACAGGTATTGGCACCTGCAGTTGTAACACTGCTTGAAGACATGCCAATGCCAAAATACACGTGCACCTTGAATTGGAGGGGAAAAAAACACCTTTTGTAGTAATTTTAAATTATTTTAAAATTTAATTTTTATTTTAAACTAGGTAATAAATATACCAATACACTTGGTACAAAATTCAAAAGGTAAGAGACTTTACTCTGAAAAGTAGGTGTTCCTGTTCACTCTGTCCAGCCAATTTCCTTTCCCAGTGTCAACTAAGCTGTCTTATTTCTAATATATAGCACTTAAAAAAGTGGTTACCTAAATTTCAAAGCAAATGTACTGCAGTGTTTGTAAGAAGGGACTCCGGAATCACAAAGACTACATTTAAAACCTAGCTCTCTCCTTGTAGCTCTGTAACCTTGGGCAAGTCACTTAATCTCAATGCCTCAGTCCACTGGGCTATACAACAATATTTTTTACATTGTTTTTTTTATAAAGATTATTTATTTATTTATTTATTTTTAAAGAGAGGGAAAGAAAGGGAGAAAAACATCAATCAGTTGCACATGTCCCCAGCTGAGGACCAGCCTGAAACTCAGGGATGTGCCTTGACCAGGAATCAAACTGGTGACCTTTCACTTTGCAGGTCGAGACTCAACCAACTGAGACACATGGGTCAGGGCTAAAACAACATTTAACAATATTTATTTTCTGGGGCTGGAGGATTAAATGAGGCAATGTTCAGAGCATAGGGCCTTGAATAAACTGGTCATGTTCATTGTCTTTGCTGTTGTTTAGATAAATTTGAACATACGATATGTAATATCTAAAGACTATTTTTGAAGGAAAAAATTATTTTATTGGTACCTGGAGAGAACTAGAGTTTATTAAGGATCAGATTTGTTTACTACATTTTCAGTTTAATTCCTTTTCTTTATTTCATAGTTTTCATTATATAAACAATATACAATGATTATAGAAAAAGTAGAAAATATGTGATAAACAAAAAAGATAAGATTTTCCTAACTCCCATAATCCAGAAAAAGTTACTTTTAACATTTTGGTTTATACTTGTATACTCATAGACCTTTCCTAACCAAATATATACATAGAAATTTATGTTTCCGACTTCTGGTCAAGATGGCAACATAGGCAAAAACGGCTTGCCTCCTCACACAACCACATCAAAATTATAAATAAATTATAGAACAACCATCACTCAGAACCAGCAGAAATTGAGTTGAATGGAAGTCTGACAACTACGGAATTACAAAAACCACATCCATCCAGACTGGTAGGAAGTGGAGATTCAGAATGGGCTGGTCCCACATACATGTGTGGCTGATAAAAATTCAGGAGGAATATCTTGAGAGTGAGGAGTCCCAGCCCCACACCAGACCCCCCAATGCAGGGTACGAGTGCCAGAAAGATAAGTCCCCATAACTTCTGGCTGTAAAACCCAGCAGGGATGAGTCAGTGGAAGAAACTTCTGGAGTCCCACGCAGTTCCTCTTAAAGAACACACACGCAAACTTACTCAGACTTACTCCCTCTGAGCTCTAACACTGGGGTAGTAGCTTGAAAGGCACCAGTACCATACAGGGAGGAACTAAAGTGGCTGGCACCAATATGAGAGCTGGGAGACAGCTTTCTCCCAGACAGAAAGGCAGGCTGAGCCACAGAGCTGGCAGGTGGATCCCATATCTGAGACTCTATTGAACTGGCTAACACTATTTGACCCTGCCCTGCAGATCCCCTGGACTCCAGCCCACCCAACTTACAGCTGTTAACAGCAGCCATCTCAGATTGCTTTATAACTCAGGCAGGGTGCCACAGGCAAAACACAGGTTGAAGTTGACCTTGGACTGTGCCACTTGGGAAGCCGCAGGACCTGTGCACCTAGTGGACAGCTACTGACCATGTCAGAACACTGCCACTCTGGCCCTACACAGCTGATCCTCCACAGAGGGTGGAGGTTAGTGGTCAGTGGTAATAGCCAATCCTTGCAACTGACTGTCCTGGGTAAATCTCTCCCTTTGACCTGCCAACAGAAACTAAGGCTCACCTATAAGAGGAGGGTGTACTCAGCCCTCATGAAGGGCACACACACATCAAGTACCCAGCTTGGGTGATAGGGGAGGCTGTGCCACAGGACCCTACAGGACACCTACAACATTAGTTCACGATATCAAGACAGAGAGACATAGCAGCTCTACCTAATACCTAGAAACAAACACAGGGAGGCTGCTAAAATGAGGGGACAAGGAAACATGGACCAAATGAATGAACAGAACAAAGCTCCAGAAAAAGAATGAAACAAAATGGAGATAAGCAATCTATCAGGTGCAGAGTTCAAAACATTGGTTATAAGAATGCTCAAGGAATTTGGTGAGGACCTCAGTAGCATAAAAACGATCCAGTCAGAAACAAAGGATACACTGAATAAAGCTGAGAATCAAATCAATGATTTGGAACATAAGGAAGCAAAAAACAACCAATCAGAACAACAAAAATAAAAAAGAATAAAAAAAGTGAGCATAGTATAAACAGCTTCTGGGATAACTTCAAGCAAACCAACATTCACATCATAGGGGTGCCAGAAGGAGAAGAGAAAGGGCAAGAAATTGGAACTCTATTTGAAAAAATAATGAAAGAAAACTTCCCTAATTTGGTGAAGGAAATAGACATGCAAGTCCAGGAAGTACCAAGAGTCCCAAACAAGATGGATGCAAAGAGGCCCCCTCCAAGACACATCATAATTAAAATGCCAAAGGTTAAAGATAAAGAGAGAATCTTAAAAGCAGCAAGAGAAAAGCAGATAATTACCTACAGAGTAGTTGCCCTAAGACTGTTGGCTGATTTCTGAGAAGAAACTTTGCAGTCATGAAAGGACTGGCAAGAAACATTCAAAGTCATGAAAAGCAAGGAACTACAGCCAAGGTTGCTAATTACCCAGCAAAGATATCATTCAGAATTGAAGGGTAGATAAAGAACTTCCCAGACAAGGAAAAACTAAAGGAGTTCATCTACACCAGACCATTATTATATGAAATGTTAAAGGGACTTATTTAAGAAAAGATCAAAACTATGAGCAATGAAATGGCAATAAATACATATCTATCAACAATTGAATCTAAAAAACATACTAAGCAAACAAGAAGAACAGAGACAGACTCATGGATACAGAGAGTTTTGATGGTTGCCAAATGGGAGAGGGGTGTGGTAGAAGGGGTGAAGAGGTGAGTTGATTAAGAAGTACATACAGGTACAGAATAGCCATGGGGATGTAAAGTGCAGTATAGGAAATGGAGTAGTCAAAGAACTCATACACATGACCCATGGACATGAACAATGGTGGGGGGATTGTCTGAGGGGGGGTGTTGGGTGGTGGGGGGCAAAGGGGAAAAATTGGGACAACTGTAGTAGCATAATTAATAAAATATACTTAAAAATAGAAGTGTATTTTTATAACTATAGTTAATTGTATATGAATTTTGTGCGACTTACTATCCAAAACCCTTACTTCCATTTCAGTTTTTGTTTTATGGGGTTTTTAATTTATTTTTCTACTCACTTGAAGTACTCTCCAGGTAGGGAAATGAAAGAGTGTTCAAATAATGGATTATTGGAAAATTTGGTTCTTGTATGTTTATGAAATTTGATTATGCCGTAGCAAGAGCCCTGGATTAGGAATTGCACAACGTGAGTTAAAATTCTATTTTGGGAAATATGTAATCATGCTTCTAGCTCTGTAAAATAGAAATGATAATCCATGAACTTTCCACCTCCCAGGCTGATAAAAAGGTGAAAAGGAGTTAATTAATTTCTGCTAATTCCAGCAGAAACAGACTCACTTCTGATCTGGCTAGAATCATAGGACATTTAACCTGTGACAATGTTTTATGAGTACAAATTTCTTAGGGAAATAAATGGTCAGAACACACAATCAGAAATTCCTGAGGTCTAATTCCATCTTTTCAAGAACGCTATTAGCTCTGGGTAGTTAATTACTTTTATACTTATCAAATAAATTGAATTTTTGCCTCATAGAGCCCTATTAATAGCTTATTTAACCATAAAATCTTTTTTTCATATTCTAGGCTTGTTTACAAATTGATCCTGCTGAGAGAATATCATCTACTGACCTTTTGCATCATGAGTATTTTACCAGAGATGGATTTATTGAAAAGTAAGCCTTTTGAGTGAGTTTGGACTCCTTGGTATTCTGTATTAGGAAGTTTTACTAGCATGAGAATTGCTGGATAGGGTAATGACACACAACAGGAAAATTCAATCTAACGAAAACGTTCCTATGAGTTCCTGAGTTACTGAGTTCCTATGTTGACTAGGTATATGGTAGACTTAGAGGTATCACAGTGAAAATTCTAATAATAAAAATAATCTCAGTTAATATTCATTACAGTTACTATGTCCTAGGATGTGTGCTAAGCTCTTTACACACATCTTCAATGGTCATCATTGGCCAGAGATAACATTAAATAAATAATTGGTCATTTCTAGCTTTATTCCCATTCAGACCTCTGACTTAGAATAGTCTGGTATTTCCTCTTTTGATAGCATCTCTGAGCTATATATTAAAATTAAGATTTGTCTCCCAAAATGATTTTTTTCTCTGCTTCACTTATTCTCTGTTGCAGTGGCTATTGTTTTTTCTCTCCACCAAACTGGAAGTGCCCTAAAAACATGGACCAAGCTTCTCACAGCTATGCTGTTTCCCACATTTACACACACACACACACACACACACACACACACATTTATAAAAATTAAAATGTAAATCAGCCAAATTTCTTTAAAAAACACCATTTTCTTCTTAATTTTAATTTATTTTTAGAGAGAAGGGAATGGAGGGAGAAAGAGAGGGAGATACAACATCAGTGTGTGGTTGCCTCTTGTGCCCCCCCCACTGGGGACCTGGCCTGCAACCCAGGCATGTGCTCTGAGCAGGAATTGAACTGGAAACTCTTTGGTTCACAGGCTGGCACTCAATCCACTGAGCCACACCAGCCAGGGCACCATTTTCTACTTGGACTTTGAAAGAAATAGAAAAAGTTTCTCATTGATTGCAGAAGCATTCAGTTGGCCTTTGGATGTGAGGTCAGAATGATGGACATCAATGAAAAATGTGATGGAGTTAAGATCAGGCATGGAAAAGTCCAGGAACTGCCATTGAGGAGAGACTAAAATAAAAAAGGCAATGAAAAGGGAATCATTGAAAGTAGCTATGATAGAACTTCAGACATTTAAGGAATTTTAATCTAAAACAAAAGAATGAGGAGATGTATTAAAGCGCCATTTATGAAAAGTGACAGTTGAATAAAAAAAGTTGTTTTATGTCAGTTCTACACAGACTAAGTTGATATCCCCTGCACATTTAAATAATAATATTTTACTATTATGGGTGAAAGTTCTTGAGTCCAATTATTGAACCCTCAGAAAGTGTTTGAGGAAGACCTTTCCCTTTGGTTAGAGGACTCTTCCTTTCGTGAACCTTGTGCGATGCAAGAGTTTTGACAAAAGTGTGACAGAAGTGTGACATTTCCTCTTTCAGCCAAAGTAATCATACTTGTAATTTTCTTTGTCTTCTCATACTACCCTTCACTAGACGTGTCCCTCACAGCACTGGCAAGACAGGGCTGAACTAGGGAAGAATTCATTCACGACTGATATTTTAAAACTTCCCCAAACTGACGGCAATAGCTGCTCCAAGGAGGGGACTGTGCAACTTGGGGACAGGCATGGAAAGGCTTTCCAACACGGCCTTTTGAATTTTGAGCCATATGAATAGATTTTATTGTATATTCAAAAATAAATAACTTAAAGAAAGTCAAACTAAAACCAAAACAATCTCACTTCAATGTTGATATTCTGTTACATTTTGTACTAAAAATATTTTTTAGAGTAAGTAGGTAGTTCATCTTTTAAATACTGTTACTTTAAAGAACCACAAAAAGGACAAAGTGGCCTGAGTCTTCCTTGAAAAAAATAGTGTATTTATCAAAATTTAAAAGAAGTGCTTTTATGCCCTGGCTGGCGTAGCTCCGTGGATTGAGTGCGGGCTGCGAACCAAAGTGTCGCAGGTTCAATTCCCAGTCAGGGTACATGCCTGGGTTGCAGGCCACAGCCCCCAGCAACCACACATTGATGTTTCTTTCTCTCTCTCACTCTCTCTATCTCCCTCCCTTCCCTCTCTAAAAATAAATAAATAAAATCTTTTAAAAAAAAGTGCTTTTACTAAGTAAAGTTTGCATCATAAAAGGAATCTAATTCCTATGTTTATTTTGTAAAAGTTTTACATAGCATATTCCCATGGCAAAATTGAAACATGTATCTTTACTAGGAAGCAATTTGTATTAGGTAAATATAGGGCCATTTCTTGACATGCATTATTGACTGCTTATTTATGCTGTGGCTGAAATGTAAATTAATTGATTAAATGGTCCATTAAAGATAAAACATTCTATCTATATAAATAAAAAGATTATTGGTTGATATTGCTTGTTTTATCAGATTCATACCGGAACTAAGAGCTAAATTACTACAAGAAGCAAAAGTCAATTCACTCATAAAGCCAAAAGAGAATTCTAAAGAAAACGAATTTATGAAAGATGAAAGAAAAACAATTTATACTAATACACTGCTAAATACTTCACTTTTGGGAAAGGTAAAAACTGGTTTTCTTTTTCTCCAGTAACTGTATTATAGTTAGCACTCTGATGATAAAAATTACCCTTCTTCTGACTCAGATTTTGGATGTGTCTATTCCAGGAAATGGAAAAAGAGAAAAAGCCCAAGGAAATGAGAGTCAGAGTTACCAAAGTCAAAGGAGGAAATACCTTAGAACCAAAAAAGACAGAGTATGAAAGTGGACATGGTCAACAAGATGCAACTAAAAATGCTCATGCTGTAGCTCAAGATACAAAACTTGTAATCAGTGAGCCACCAGACCCTGCCATGCCCAGCACTAACTCTAATGGCATGAAAGACAGTCTACATGCCGGAGGTAGTATGATGATGCCACCTATTAACCTAACTGGCAATAATTTGTTGGCTTCCAATCACAACGCAAATCTCTCCCACTCCAGTTCAAGGTGAGTTCTAACAGAAAAGATGCAGAAGGAAATGGACCTAAGGAATACAATGTTCCTATATCATGGTATTTCAAAGAATCAAGTTTATAGTGCCTGTACATAAACAGAATTTGAAGATATATTGAAATTATAATCATATAATGGGCTATTACTGAGTCCTTATGATTGCTGTAGAAGAAATTAACTTTTCTTGGCTATATAAACATTAAATTTTTCACTAATGACTTTTGGGAAAACCTCAATTAAAAAAAAACTCTTAGGAAAGATTTTTTTTTTTAATTTGGAGAGAAAAAGGTAATATGACCTAGTTCTGGTATTGATGTGCCTTGGTATAACGAAGTAAGCATTATGTCTGTATCATAGCAAGTTCTCCAAGTGGAAAGATGATAATTGAAAATAATCTTTAATAGTCAAATGGTCTTTCAAGGTCAAAAGTTTTGGGAGGAAAACAACAGATTGGGCTAGTTTTAGCTTTACCTACTGATCAGATTGAGAGAGTGGTGCAGGAGTCTGATAATCAAGGGTGGTGTGGTGGATGGCAAGGGTCTGTCTGGCAAGGCATCGAGGCCAGTTCTAAATTTCGGGAAACTACTATGTGTCTAGATGAGGAAGGAGACTAGGTTCAATACCCCGAGCCTATCCTAGCAGGCTGGTTTGGGCTCTAAGTTGTGAAACTTAGTGCTCTGCAGAGGTGGCAAGTGCACCTGTCTGTGCCAGTCGAAAGGTACAGCAGGTTACAGAGTTACAGACAGCAAGAGCTCAATTGCTCTTTCTTTTAAAATTTTTTAAAAAATTTATTTTTAGAGAGGGGGAGGGAGGAAGAAAGAGAAACATCAATGTGTGGTTGCCTCTTGTGTGCCCCCTACTGGGGACCTGGCCTGCAACCCAGGCAAAGTACCCTGATTGGGAATTGAACCGGTGACCTTTTGGTTCTCTCTGGCGCTCTATCCACTGAGCCACACCAGACAGGGCCTTCCTTTTCTTTCTTTCTTTTTTTTTGGAATAAGTAATGGTTTCTTTTTAAAAAAAATTTTTTATTGTTCTTAATTGTTCTTGAGATGACCCCAAAACCATGGTTGCAATACCATGGTTGTAAATCAGCTTTGGACAGCAAGCTGAGAAATTCAGAAACTACTAATTAAGAGATCCAGGTTCAGATCAGATAGAAGGGACTAAGTTGGCTAGCTGGAGTAACCCTATAACACGGTCGTTACCACTGATGTTAGCTATGAGGGAGTTGTTCCCTGCTTTGCTTTCACCTCTCTACTTAGAGCAGCCAGCACTAAAGGACTGACAGCTGCATTTTGGCACTCAGTGTTCAAACAGTAGACTCCCGTGGTGTAACTTACACATTATTAAAGCTAAAACAGAAGCAGTTCTGGGGGGTTATAACTTCTCATTTGTTTTTAAATAATAGGTTAACTGAAAGAGCAAAAAAGAGACGTACTTCACAGTCTATTGGACAAGTTATGGCTAATAGGCAAGAGGATACGGGTCCCACTCAAGTAAGACAAGAAGCTAGTCATTGAAATGTATCTCTTTCAGCATTATCCTCCTGCCTGGCCCCCTGTCCTTTTCTCCGTCTCTAGAGTGCTAACATTTTTTAAAATGTGCTTTTAGTTTCCTTTTTTCCCCTCTGAGATGAAAATAGGCCATCACGTCCTTATTGCCTTCATCATTTTAGTTCATTTCCTTTAACTTGATTTGTGTATTCAGTGTGTTATTTGCGGGTGGTGGGGGGTGGATAAGTTAAGATTTTCACCTTTAAAAGTCACAAGACTTTTTGGTTTTTCATCTTCAAAAAAATGTTTTTAATATATTCCTATATAGATTAAAGCAACTACCAAATAGATACATTTTACTTTTCACTAGAAAAAAAATCAGTGTAGTCCATTACCTCATATGTTTTCATATAGGAAAGTAGCTTATTCAAAATTGAACCACAGTGTTATTTAACAATAATAAAAAGTCAGCCCTGGCTCATGTGGTTCAGCGGATTGAGTGCCAGCTTGGGAACCAAAAGATTGCCGGTTTGATTCCCAGTCAGGGCACATGCAACCTGAGTTGTGGAGTAGGTCCCTGGTTAGAGATGTGTAAGAAGCAGCTGATCAATAGTATAATAATAAAAAATTGAAGAGACAAATTCATCTAAGAGTAAGTAACTGGTTAAGTACATTAGAGTATATCTACACAGTGGGGTACACATATTACTTTGTGGAAGATTGTTCATTAACTTAAGAAAGTTTTTTTTCCTTTTTATTTTTAAACTAAAGTTGAACACAACATTATATTAGTTTCAGGTGTCCTTTTTTATTCTGTTGAAGTTCTCACTAAGTTCCTCGAGCATCCTTATAACCATAGTTTTGAACTGTGTATCTGGTAGTTTGCTTGCCTCCATTTTATTTAGTTCTTTTTCAGGAGATTTCTCCTGTTCTTTCATTTGGGACCTGTTTCTTAGTCTCCTCATTTTGGCTGCTTCCCCTGTGTTTGATTCTATGTATTAGGTAGAGCTGCTATGTCTCCTGGACTTGGTAGAGAGGCCTTATGTAGTAGGTGTCCTGCAGGCCCAGTGGTGCAGCCTCCCCAGTCACCCAAGGTGGGTACTCCAGTGCAACCCCTGTATGGGCCATGTGCACTGTCCTGTTGTAGTTGAGTCTGGATTGCTGTTGGCACGTCACTGGGAGGGACTGACACCCCCCAGGTCAATCAGCTGTGAGGACCAGCTGCTACTAAAGCAAGGACTTGCTTCAGTGGGGCTTTGGTGCTCATCAGGTCTGCTCCTTGAATGTGTTGCTCGTGGAGGTGGTTGAGTTGTAATCCTGCATGGTCTGAAGCTATCCACTGGGTTCACTGGCTGCTTTGGGGCCTCCTGGGATGTGCAAGGTCATCCGCCGCTTGTGCACTGCCTGGAGCCACCTGGCATGAGCTACAGAACAGTGTGCAGATGGCTGCTGCTTGTGTTGGTCTTGGAGGGGCCTGGGAGGGGCCAAGCTGTGAACCACATCTGGCTGCTGCTAGTGCCATGCCTGGGGCAACTTAGTCAGAGGTATGGGGTGTGCAGAGACAAGATACTGCTTCTTTGAGAGATTTTATGAAAGTCCAAAGCCCGAGCCAAAAGAGGTCATTTATAAGAAAAGGCCACTAGAAATGGCTTGAGTGGCTCTGCAAGTTAGGTGGGGTGGGGTCTCAAGGAATCACTAGGGCCCTGGCAACAGTGTTGGCCAGACTAGTGGAGACTCAGATATGGATCCAGCCTGCTGGCTCTGTGGGGAAAGGGCTCAGCAAAGAAACAGTGGCCTCTGCCTGCACTTCTGTTGGAGAGAAAGCTGCCTCTCCAGCCCTTACCCTGAAGCCAGGCAGTTCAGTTAACATAGGAAAGCTTATACCATTTGTTGTCAAATGAAGAAAAACAGGTAACATAAAAAGTTTTCCAACCCTGGCTGCTGTGGCTCAGTTGGATTGAATGTCAGCCTGTGAACCAAAAGGTCACTGGTTTGATTCCCAGTTAGGGTACATGCCTGGGTTGCGGGCCAGGTCCACAGTATGGGGCGTTCAAGAGGCAACCACACATTGATGTTTCTCTCCCTCTTTCTCCTTCCCTTTTCCTCTATAAAAATAAATAAAATCTTTTTTTAAAAAAAGTTTTCCAGAATGCTGGGTTCACAAGTAATTTTTTCTTTTGGGTTTTCTTAGTGTCCAGAGCACTTCATTTTGTAAATAGAAAAATAAATTATCAATAAAATGCTCTGAAGAAATTTGTCCAAAATCAGAGTGCCATGAATAGGATTAAAAATTAAGAGTTAAGATTATGGTTCTCATGATCAAGATTTTATTCTTAGAATTTAATATGCTAAAAAAAATGAAGGTTGTTGCTATGGTCAGGTGGCTAAGTTGGTTGGAGTGCTGTCCTGTGCACCAAAATGTTGCCGGTTCAATTCCTGGTCAGGGCACATATCTAGGTTGCGAATCCAATTCCTAGCTGGGGTGTGTATAGAAGGCAACCGATCCATGTTTCTTTCTCACATTGATGTTTCTCTCTCTCTTCCTCTCTAAATTCAATAAGAACATATCCTCAGGAGAGGATTTTTTAAAAAGACTTTATTTATTTTTAGAGAGATGGGAAGGGAGGGAGAAAGGGGGAGAGAAACATCAGTGTGTGGTTGCCTCTCATGTGCACCACTGGGGACCTGGCCTGCAACCCAGGCATGTGCCCTGACTGAGAATTGAACCAGCAACCCTTTGCTTCTCAGACCAGCATTCAATCCACTGAGCCACACCAGCCAGGGCAGCATTAAAAAATAATTAATTAAAAAGTTTGCTTTATGAAACTCTAATTGAACTTTAATCTGGTTTACATGTTTATTGGTATTCTATTCTACTAGGCATTGTTATGCCTATCTTACACCATCCAAATGGCTAATAATTCTAAACTTGTCATTCAGTAGTTGCACTTCTTTCTTTGAATTAATTCTTGTTTATTTGTTTGTTTAGAGCCAAATGGAGATAGCTACATTTAATGAGCACACAGGTCAAAGTGACCAAATGGCAAATGGAAACAAAAGGAAGCTGAATTTTCCCAGACCTGACAGGAAAGAATTCCACTTCCCAGAACTGCCCTTCATAATACAGTCAAAAGAGACGAAAAGAATGGAAGGTACACATTTGTTGCACGGCAGCACAGGTCTCCAGATGTCATCTTTCATAAAACTGCTTTTTTTAATGTAACTTATTTTATAATGTGATTTAGGTGGGAAATAGTAAATTACTGCAAATATTTTCAGCAGATGAGAATTTTTTCCCATACTTAAATAAAGGGTAGGACTTAAAGGAGAAAATTTTAAAGAAAGATTAAGAAGACTTTAAAGTGTAAATTTGTCACTAGCTCAGTATTGTTGAAATGTTTAGAACAGTATTTGAAGAAAGTGGTTTTGACTTATTATATGATCTGGAGCAACTCAATTTCCTATGCTTCTCCATGATTATTTGTCCATATAATGGCAGGAATTATATATGGGCTTCAGGAACCCAAGGATTTAGTAGATTATAATTTATAACATGTATTGGTTTCTTCTAATGAAACTCATTTACTCTTTGAAGAACAGTGACACCTTGTGAAAAGTTAATGTAATAGCAAGACTATGGTACTTGCATAGCTCAAGAGGAGTTATCCGATCCACTTTTTATTCTTTAAAATAATCAGATTCATTAATTTTTCTTCAATAAATCAATTAAGATTTTAAAGCCCCAATTTTACACATGTTCATAAAGTTCGTATAATGAACCTAGAACATTTATTATAGTATTAAAAAACCAAGTAAGTGTGATTATTGAGCTCACGGTGACAAACCTTACGTTAGGACCCCAAAATGGTGAATATATAAATATAATCTTAATGCAATTGTTCTTAATCATTTAATTCATTTATGTGAAACGACACTTTTTAAAAGAATTATATTCAATACTATTTGCCAGCTGCTGTTAATGTGCACCTGTTAGCAGAGGTTGGGTGGACCTTGAACTTTTTATGAGCACAGTTTACTCCCCTCACCCACACTGCTGACGTGTAAGACGCCATTGCACCAAGAAAAGCCTAATGAAATATTACTTGATAATGCTTTCCCCCAAATCTATACTATCAGTTACATTTGGCATATAATATCCTTTTAATTTTCAGGGGCCCAAGTCACAGAATTAAAAAATAAATGTCACCCTGGTCAGGTAGGTCAGCTGGTTAAAGTGTTGTCCTGATACTCCAAGGTTGCAGGTTTGATCCCTGGTCAGGGACCATAAAAAAACCAACCAATGAATCCATAAATAAGTGGAACAACAAATGGATGTTTCTGTCTTTCTCTCAAATCAATCAATCAAAATAAATACATAAAATTAAATGTATTCTACATTTTTATGCAGTCATAAAACAAATAATTTATGATTGGTACATTTTACAATTACAACTCATGATTTGTTCAGTTCCTTTATAATAAAGTGGGAAACTGACTTAAGTGGATATCAAAATTTCCATTAGAAATTCTTAAAAAGGAAAGTAAAATTTCAATGGAAGAATAACAAGTTGTCATTGTTGTATATATTTTTGCAAAAGTTAAACAGATAAAAGTGCTGAAGAGGGAATCAAAGAAAACAGATTCATCTAAAATACCAACTTTACTTAATATGGATCAAAATCAAGAAAAACAAGAGGTAAAACTTTTTGTTTATAGCTTTTACTGAGGAACACTGTTTATAATCCTTCACTTGGTGTGTAAATGTAGTTATTATTGGAAAGTAATATAAAACTTCGAAATTCTGTAATCTTTGAATTCTAGAAACAGATCTCTATTTTCCTAGAATAACCATTTACTAAAGGTTCTTAAGGCGTTTCCGGGGGTGGGGGAGGCAGTCAGCACCAGCCTCACGTGAATGTTGGGGTGGCGGTCGGGGAAGAGTGTGTGTGTCATGCGTGTCACCTAATGCTGGCCAAATAAACTGTGCCTGAGGAAATGAATAATAGTATAAACATATGGTTGTACTGGCTGCAGGAACAGACAGATGTATTTGTCTTGAGCTTCTTCCTTCCTATTTTTTCTCGTTTGTTCCTGCATCTCTGCTGTGCACCTGCCATCCTATTTTCACAGATTTTTGCTCTTAGCTAGTTGTCAGATAATCTTGTGGAAATGTCCCAGCCCCTACCCACCAGAGAATCTTGAATTTTATTTAGAAGTCTTGAAGCCCCAAACATGCAAATGAATACTCCTCTCACAGGGGTGTCCAACCTGCAGCCCACAGGCTATATGAAGCCCAGGATAGCTATGAATGCAGCCCAACACAAAGTTGTAAATTTACAACTTCCCCTTCCCCTTCTCTTAAAACCTTTTTTGCTCATCAGTTTTTGTTAGCATTTGTGTATTTAATGTGTGGTCCAAGATAACTCTCCTTCCCGTGTGGCCCAGAAATGCCAAAAGGTTGGACACCCCTGCAAGGTATTCTTTTTAGAGAAGGGGATTGTGGTGAGTACTCACTGGATAAGATCACATAGCTGGCTTTCTATTTCTGTGAGGTCATCAACTTTGTTATCTCAGTTTCTTATTTTTTTGAATAAAATTGATTATATTTTTATTTGTGATAAAATTAGCACATACCGCTCAAGGAAAATGAAAGAAATTAGAAAAATCAAGAAACTTTGATCTGAAACTACTTAAAAAGGCATTTATCTAAGTCTATTCAATCTCTACAACATTCAAATAAAATAGTTATCAGACATTGTCACATATATTTTCACAGTGACATTTATACTTTATTCTTGGCCTAGAACTTGTTAAGAATGCGTAAGTCCACTTTGCAGAGAAAAGGCATTTTCTAGATAAAACAAGAAAACCATCAATGCTCATCTTTTAGTTCATTATAAAAAGTAAAAAGGTGGCTTTAAACTTGGGTGATTTACTGATGTCACAGCATGTTGAACAGCACACCATTTGCACGTTTTTTGAGTGATTGGTGAGTTGGGGCTCCTGAGCTGGGCAGGCTGGTGCTGTGCTACGTGGGCTTATCCCACCTTCCTGTGAGTCACCCCTCAACCCCAAGCCACAATTACATTCCAACACAAGAAGAAAGGAACTCTTAAGATAGTTCTATCATTTTTTAAATACAAAAATAAATAGCAAGGGAAAGCCCCTTGCTCATGTGGTATAGAACTCTTGAAAAGATGACATTTTTAAGAGTGACTTTGAAACAGTTGTTATCAGAATAACAAGAAGTCGTATGATGCCGGTTGTAGTTTATTTGTACTGTCCATTCAAATGCAGTTTTGACAAGTGACTGAAATTGCATCTAAGGCTAGTCCAAACGCTTTTAATAAATTAATGTCAGAATTAAGAAAATTCCCTAAATTTTGAGTTGGTAATTTGTTTTGTTTTGAATTTGGTAATTTGTTGTTTTAGAGCACCAGAGAATATCACATGTTTTTAAAAATATAAGAGGTAATAGCAACTTACTTGTTTTATTCTTGGTTCTGTCATTGACTTGTTTTCGAATTACCTGATCAGATCCAGGCACTTCCCAGGTGTACATTAAACTCATTTAGGCATTTTAAATGAATACTGAAAGAGTACATATATGCATTGAATAGACTCTATGACAGAGAGAGAAACCCTAAATTACTGCTACTGAGCTAAGTAAGAGAAAAGCCCACAAATAAACTACCTCAGTTCTGTTTCGTGATGATGATAGGAATGCTTTGCTAAATAGTCTCCCTGTGCCGCATAAAACAACCTCCAGGTGCAAAGTACAAGTGCTTATCTGTGGCTTAGCCAAAGACTCACCATTTCCTCAATTAAGGTCCTGTTTCTATTTACTTTTTTAGAATACAGGAAATGCACAAACTGAAAGGAAGAAGAACCCGCCCGATGTAGAGTAGAAAATGCAGCAGCTGAAAATTCAGGGAATCCCAGAATCACTGTATGGTTTTTTAAAACAATCCTTTTTTAAATATTACATGCACAAAAATGTTGACTAATAATTCTACAGATATATTATAAAATCTGTGAAGTTATGTGTGTATTCACCTAATTTGTTTTTAAATGTATTAACTTTAAATTATTCATGTTTTCTTAATTTGAACATTAATTTATGAAAACTGCTTGACTGGTACATTCTAATATAACTACAGCTTACGTTTAGTTATATAATTTTATCTGATGGTATCTCAGTTCATGTTTCATTGGCAGTCCTTCTTGGCTTTAGTCCTGAGCACACCAGACACTTCTGAGCAAACACATACACTTGATAAGCAGGCAACACGGGTTTGATTGCGCACTGAACACTTGGAAACGGCGTTTAAACATATTGTGGCGGCTGTGTTTAATAAGGGTGGAAGTTGAGCAAAGCACTGAAGCGACTCTTTTGGCTTGACCAGCATGTTTATCACCTAGTAGTTTGATAGACTATGTTGTTACATATAATTTAACATTAATAGGCAGAGTTTTGGCAGCATATATTTACATTCTTATCTCTGGTTCTTACTTGGTTTCCGATTTTAGGGTGGAGATGGCCATTGTGAAGGGCGGAGTTTGAAGAGGAACGTATTTTTTTTGTGGTAGTGTCTTTGAAATCTTAAACTACAAATTGGCATGTCTTCCCTTTTTGTTTCACATGCGATAGGAATGTAACGGGCTGTTAAGATGGCCATTCATCCGCACTAGCATCATCCACCTTCATTTTGTTAGCAGACAGGTCACTGTTTTCTCCTTTCCTCTAAGGACTCTGTCGATGTAACGCTCTGATTGGGAATTAAAGTCATCTCCTGTCTGCCTGCCTCTTTCCTTGCCATGATTCATGAGTAGGTAACATCCTGTCACAGGGCACACACGGTACTTCGCTGATCTCTGCCCTCTGCTGGTCAAGTACCCTTAACTGTCAGTCGTTTCCTAGGAGGCTTAGGCTTTCCAAAGTGAGTTCTTAATGAAATATCTGACCCATTGTTTTAAAAGCTATTCAATACAATAAATTAAATAAAACAAAAGCTGTTTATTGCCATTACATGATTAAACCTATGTTCTGTTAGTCAGCTATGAAAGTATTTATTACATTTATAAAGGATCTGTAAATTATATGGTATTCAAATGTTAATTATTTTGTTATGCTTTTAAATGACTATTAGTGGTCTTCCTTTTCTGTTTAATAAAATAAACTATATACAACCCTGAAGAAGTATATACCAAAATTCTCAATTGTCCTATAGTTCAAAAACAATAAAATGAGATTATCTGATGTTTTACCGGAAGTCTACCTGATTTTATATTTACTAAAAGTAAACATGAAGAATAAAGGAAAGCATAACTTCTTTAATATATTATAATCTCTTTGAGTCTCATCAAAAGTGGAATGGAATTCACATCCGTGATGATTACACATGCTGCACCTAACAGACCCCCGTTAGTAGCTCTAGCTCCTCCAGGGAAACTGAGTTGTCCCCTGTGGTAGGTTTAACAGTTATCAGTCCATTCTTTTTCTGCTGAATTTTATATTTGTGGATTCTTAGATCAATATCAAAGGATTATTTTTTTCAATTTCTACCAAAAAAATGCCTTCTGGGATTTTTATTGGGACTGTGTTGGATCTATCCACCAACTTGAGGAGAATGAATATCCTAATCACATCATCTTCCAACCATGAGTATGGTACAAACTCTCCATTTATCTACACCTTTAACTTTTTTGTAATAGTATGTAGCAGTCTTGCACATTATTTATTCAATTTATTCCTATGTGTTTTGTTTTTTGATGCTGTTATAAAAGGTATTTTTTAAAAGATTTTTTAAATTTATTTTTTAGAGAGAGGAAGGGAAAGAGAAAGAGAGGGAGAGGAACATCAATGTGTGGTTGCCTCTCCCATGCCAACTGAGGACCTGGCCCACAACCCAGGCATGTGCCCCAGACTGGGGAATTGAACCGGCAACCCTTTGATTTGCAGGCTGGCATTCAACCATTGAGCCACACCAGCCAGGGTATGGTATTGGTTTTTAATATCATCTTCTGGTTTGTTGTTGCAGTACAGAGGTATAGTTTGTTTTTCCATATTAATCTAGTGTTCTGAGACCTTGCTAAATTCACTTATTAGTTCTAGTAGGTTTCCTTCCTTTGTTCATTCATGCCTTCCTTTTTTTTCTTTGCCTTCTCCTGGACCTCTTCCTCCTTCTTTTTTTTCTTCTCTTCCTTCTCCTCCTCCTTCTGCCTTTGTCTTCACCTTCTTTTTTTGTATATATCCTTAGGATCTTCTATATAGGCAGTCATCTTTCTTTGCAATGTCTATGCCTTTTACTACTTTCTCTTGCCTTATTGTACCAACTAGGATGTGTGATAGTGTTGAACAGAGTAGTAAGAGTGGACGTCCTTGCCTGTTTTCCTAAACCAGAGGGAAAACATTTAGCCTTTTCTCATGGAAGTTAGCTTCCTTACGATGTCAGCTGTAGGTTTTATGTAGATGACCTTTATTAGATAGAGAAAGATTCCTTCTATATTTGTTTGCTGAGTGTCCTTACCATGAATAGGTGTGAAATTTTGTTAAATGCTTTTCCTGTATCTATTGAGATGCTCTTATGATTTTCTTCCTTTACTGTTATCTTTTTTAGTATCTTTTGTTATAATAAGCCCCTTTCTGTGATAGCAGAGTTTATGCTAATGGGTCGACTCCTAGAGAATGGGGGCTGGTTACCAGCGGTACCAACCACATGATTACAGGGTTGGAACTTTCTCCCTGACACTCTGACCTCTGGGGAGAGGGGAAGGGCTAGAGACTGAGTTCATTAACAATGGCCAAAAATTTACTCAATCATATTTGTATAATAGGACCTCCAATAAAAACTCTAAACTGACCCTGGCTGGTGTGGCTCAGTGGATTGAGTGCCAGCCTGCGAACCAAAGTGTTTCCCATTTGATTCTAAGTCTAGGGCACATGCCTGGGTTTCCGGCCAGGTCCCCAGTAGGAGGTATGCAAGAGGTAACTGCATGTTGTTGTTTCTCTCCCTCTCTTTCTTCCTCCCTTCCCTTCTACAAATAAAGTCTTAAAAAAATTTTAAACTAAGGTGTTTGGACCACTCCAAAGTCATTGAACAAATCAAGGTCCTGTGAGGGTGGTGCACCAGAGAAGAAGGCACGGAAGCTCTGCACCCCTTCCCACGTACCTTGCCCTATGCATCTCTTCCACTTGGCTGTTCCTGAGTTGTTACCTTTATAATAAATTGATAGTAAGCAAAGCACTTTCTTGAGTTCTATGAACTGTTCTAGCAGTTTATCAAACCTGAGGAGAAGGTTGCAGGAATTCCCGATTTAAAGCCAGTTGGTCCAGTACAGGAGGCCCAGTGTGGCAGTTGGAGTGTGAAGGGAGGGGCAGTCTTGTGGGACGGAGCCCTTAACCTGTGGGGTCTGCACTAACTCCAGGTAGTGTCAGAAGTGTTATGAGTAGAGGAAAGAGTTTTTCCATTTATTCTTCTTTTTTTAGCTTCTGAGGAAAATGAGGTCATTGACTTGAGACTTTTCTTCTTTTCTAATATAAGCATTTAAAGTTTTAAAGTTTCCTCTTAGTTGCATCTTACAAATTCAAGTGATTTGATATCCATCAGTAAAAATATTTTCCAATTTCCCTTTGGGTTTCTTCTTTGGTCCATTTATTTTCAACTAGTTAGGGTTATTCCAAGTTTATTACTGTTCTTGGTTTTTAACAATTTTTTAAAAGATTTTATTTATTTATTTTTTAGAGAGGGAAGGGAGGGGGAGAGAGAGAGAGAGAGAGAGAGAGAGAGAGAGAGACATCAATGTGCAGTTGCTGGGGGTTCTGGCCTGCAACCCAGGAACGTACCCTGGCTCGGAATTGAACCTGGGACACTTTGGTTCCCAGCCCGCACTCAATCCACTGAGCTACGCCAGCCAGGGCAATGTTCTTGGTTTTTAATTCAATTCCATTGCTGCCACAGAATGTACTCTGTATTATCTCAGTTCTGATAATTCCATTGAGACTTGTTTTGTGTCCCGGCATATGGTCTGTTTTAGTGAAAGTTGCATTTACAACTGACAAGAATATGTATTATACTGAAGTTGAGTGTAGTGTTCTATTAATGGCAAGTAGGTCAAGTTGACTGATAGAGTGTATTAGGGTTCATATCTTTACTGATTTTCTATCAGCAGTCTATCGATTGCTGAGGGAAGAATACTGAAATCTTCTACTATAATTATAGATGTGTCTGTTTCTCCTTTGAGTTCTCTTAGTAGTTTCTTTATGCATTTTCAAGCTTTGTTATTAGGTACATATATATTTCAAACTATTATGTTTCTGATGAAATTGAAATATTTCATCAGAAATATTCAGACCCCACAGGTTAAGGGCTCCATCCCACAAGACTGCCCCTCCCTTCACACTCCAATCTCAAGTCTGGGCCTCCTGTACTTCTGACCAACTGACTGTAAATCAGGAATTCCCATAATCCTCTCCTTGCTTGGGTTTGATAATTTGCTATCTGCTGTCTAGTATCTGAAAACAGTGTTTTATATGTTTTTTTCCAGTTTTATCATTCCCTTTTATCAAGGTAAGACCAGTTACTCCATCATGGCTGGAACTAGAAGGTCATTTAAAGAGTTCTGGAGTGGAGTGGAGATCTAGTCACTGTGAATAAGGGAGATCTGTTGAATAATATCCTGACATTTATCTTAAGCACTTTAAAGAACCTTTAGAGCCATCACAAAAAGCTATAGCTCTATCTTACATCAAATGTCCCTGATTGATTGACCACTGTTTTAGTTTAAGACCATTACTAAGGGTGTGGATATGGAGATAGGAACTTGTCCCTTATTACATAAGTAGTGGCTTGCCCATACTTTTTGTTGATTTTGTTGTCATTCTTACTCTGGTTATTGTAATGATTATTTATTTTGTGAACTCTGCCAATAGTGTGAAAGCTTGAAGTATGAAACTATGAAGTTTGCCAGTGAAAGTTCAGCACTAGACATAGTTGGTAGGATGTATAGTTTACTGGCTGATAATACTTGTCAGAAGGTATTATTCAGGTAAGTGTGTTTTCATTTTCCTCATGTGATTGTCTTGTAAATATTTGTTACAAAGCTCTTTTAAAAGAGCTTATTTGTTTTTAGAGACAGGGGAAGGGAGGGAGAAAGGGAGTAAGAGAAACAATGTATGGTTGTCTCTTGTGTACCCCCTACTGGGTACCTGGCCTGCAACCCAGGCATGTGCCCTGACTGGGAATCAAACCAGCAACCCTTTGGTTCACAGACTGGCGTGGGTGTTTTTAATAAAATTTAAATTAGATTATGTTACTTCTCTGCTCCAAGCCCTAGTGCTTTTCACTTCACTCAGCAAAAGCCAGAGACATTACAGTACCCGACATGGCCCTACACAGTACGCCTCTGTCCACTCTTTGCCCAGGTTTGCTACTGAGACTATTTATTGCTCAGTCTGGTCCAGGCCCACTGGCCTCTTTGCTGTTCCTAACTATGCTCCTGCCTTAAAACCTCAGTTTTTGCTGTTTCCTCTGCTTAGAAATCTTTCCCCAGGTAACTGCATGATTGATTCCCTCCTTATTCTCCTTCCTGTTGTTTGGGACAACCTCTTTACTGGTTTTTACTCATAAATGAAGTCTTCTCTACCATTTTACTTAAAGTTACAGCTCTCCCCATTTTTATTCCCCTTTCCTGTTTCACTTTTTATATAGCATTTCCCTGTCTGATAAGCTATATATTTTACTTATTTTGTTTATTAAATGGTCTCCATCCACTAAAATAGCAACTACCTGAGCATAGGGATTTAGAGTTTCATTTGCTGCTGTATTCCCTATGCCTAATACCTAGCATATACTGGAACTCAATAACATTTGCTTTCTGAATGAATCAATTTATTAAGTACTTTACATAGTAATCACTTGAAAAAACAATGAAGAATGAAATACGGGATAATTTTATAGGTGGGGTAGAATATGTTCTCTATGACAGGATAGTATTCACTGTTCAAGTGGCCACCTGAACAATTGTCCAATTGTTCAAGGAATAAGTAGCAGTGACTCGGCATGGAACTTAAAGTTGAAGGACATCAGCTGAACTTACTGTTCGTTAGTATTTTAATGAAGGAATTGAAATTTAATTGCAGGATAACAGAGGGATGCTCATTAAGAACAGAATTCTGTGGATTCTGTTGGAGATTCGAGGTGTCGGATAAATTAGAAATTTGTTTCCCAAAAATTAGAAAGAGG